CTAATGTTTTTTTTTTTTTTTTTTTAATTCTATGTGTTTTGCCATGGGAAGTTTTGGGTCCCCTGAAACTGGAGTTGCAGACAGTTGTGAGCTGCCATGTGGGTGCTGGGACTTGAACCTTGGTACTCTGGAAGAGCAGCCAGTGCTCTTAACCTGCTGAGCCATCTCTCCAGCCCCTCACACAGAACTTTTAAAGGCAAAGAACACAGCAAAACTACATCCTGGTTTGCAGTTGCAGGAGAAAGTAAAGTAAGCGTGCAGTTTAACAGAAGCCAAAATCATGCACTTAGCTAGGGCATTTTGACCTTGAGTTTCTAGAACAAGGTTGGGTGCTTTCCCATGGGACTTTTCACAGTGTGAGTAGAAGGGTGGGGGTGGTCCGTTTCGGGTTAAGCCAAAGATGGCTCCAACTGAGACAAGACTGGGAACCTTTGCCCTGCCAAAGTTGTCTGGCCTAAAATTTGTGTTTGTTTGTTTGTTTCTTGACACATGGTTTCTCTGTGTAACATGACAGCCCTAGCTGTCCTGGAACTAGCTCTGTAGAGGACCTGAGTCAGAGATCCACCTGCTTCTGCCTCCCAAGTGCTGGGATTAAAGGCATGTGCCACCACCTGGCTTGCGGCCTAAAATTTTTAACTACTGTTAAAATATTTAATTTAAAAGCTGGGCAGTGGTGGCATACACCTTTAATTCCAGAACTTGGGAGGCAGAGGCAGGTGGATCTTTTTGAGTTTGAGGCTGGACTGGTCTACCAAGCAAGTTCTAGGACAGCCAGGACTACACAAAGAAACCCTGTCTGGAAAAAACAAAAAGAAAAAAATTTAATGTCTCCGTAGAAAACAAATGAAGGATGCTAAAGAGATGGTTGCCTCTGTAGGCACCAAGCATTCACACAGTGCTCATGTATATATTTAGACAAAACACTTAAACACATATAAAATAAAAATAAGCAAACCTTTTTTTTTTTCAAGACAGAGTTTCTCTGCATAGCCCTAGCTGTCTTGGAACTCACTTTGTATAATGGTATAATGGCTGGCTTCAAACTCAGAGATCTGCCTGCTTCTGCCTTAGGAGTGCTAGGATTAAAGGTCTGTGCCACCATCACCAGCTAAAAACAAAATCGAGGGCATCAAGAATGTAGCTTAGTTGGTAGAGTGCTTTCCTAGCCTGCATAGAGCTCAGGGTTTGATCTGCAGTCCTGCATACACCTGACGTGTGGTGCATGCTCAACATCCTAGCACTCAGGAAATGGAGTGGGAGAATCAGAAGTTCAAACATCCTCAGCTATATTAGAGTTTGTGACTAGCCTGAGTTATAGGAGACCCAAAAACCAAAGCAAAATCAAAACCAAATCAAATAGGGAGCCAGGTGTGTCACTGTCTATCTGTAATCCCAGCTACCTGGGAAGCTGAGATAAGACCCTGAGTTCCAGTCAGTGTGGGCAACTTAGAGAGATCCTGTCTCAACATAAATTTTAAAAAAGGGTTGTAGCTCAGTGGGAGAGAACTTCCCTAGTATGTATAGGCTCTGTGCTCTATCCATAGCACTGCAAAAAATAAATAAGGGGCTGGAGAAATGGCTCAGTGGTTAAAAGCACTGGCTACTCTTCTAGAGGACCCAGGTTACATTCCCAGCAAAATTGAGGGGATCAAGAATGTCTCTTCCTGCCTTATATTCCTTTCTCTGCCCAGCCATATCACTTCCTGTCTCAACCTTCCTAGTGCTGGGATTAAAAGCATGTGACTCCCAAGTGCTGGGATTAAAGGTGTGTGCCACCACTGCCTGACCTCTATGTTTAATCTAGTGGCTGGCTCTGTCCTCTGATCATCAGGCAAGTTTTACTTGTTAGAGTACAAACAAAATATCACACCACAACAATGAAAGTGTGACGATATATGGAATATTTACATAATGTCAAAGGATTACCCATAAGTGATTTATTAGATTATAAAGGAGATGTATTACTTCAACAGGGCATCTGGCTGTCACGCTACATAATCGATCAAATTAGCATTATCAATATTGGGACAATCTGATACTCTGCCTTCTTTTTTTTTTTTTTTGGTTTTTCGAGACAGGGTTTCTCTGTGTAGCTTTGCGCCTTTCCTGGAACTCGCTTTGGAGACCAGGCTGGCCTCGAACTCACAGAGATCCGCCTGGCTCTGCCCCCCGAGTGCTGGGATTAAAGGTGTGCGCCACCACCGCCCGGCAATACTCTGCCTTCTTAATGGCCAGTAAAATATGAAACCCAGATCAATTTGAAGAAACAATCAGGCTTATTCAGAATAGCAAACATTTTTCAGTAAAACTTTACCAGGGCTGGCTAGATAGTTCATGGTTACAAATGAGTGGTTGCTGTTCTTCCAGAGGATCTGAATTCAGGTCTCAGTACTCACATCAGGCAGCTCACAACTATCTGTAACTCCAACAGGCAGTCAACAGCTCTGTCTTCCATGAACAACTGCACTCCAGTGCATGTACCCATACACAGACACATACACATAATATAAAAGAAAAAAATCTCGTGGGGCAGTGGTGGTGACACACACCTTTAATGCCAGCATCTGGGAGGCAGAAGCAGGCAGATCTCTATGAGTACGAGGCCAGCCTGGTCTACAAAGCAAATTCCAGGATAGCCAGGACTGTTACACAGAGAAACCTTATCTCAAAAAACCAAAACCAAAATAAATAAATAAATAAATAGATAGATAGATAGATAAAACCTTTTAAAAAATAAAGAAAACTTCCCTGTGTCTAGACTAAAGGGAGGTGATAAAATGTAATTGCAGGGCTGAACTTGGTGGCAAAGACTGGTAAACTCAGTTACTTGGGAAGCTGGGGCAAGAGAATGGAAAGTTCAAGGCCAGGTCTAGGAAACTGAAGTGAGACTGTCTCAAAACAAACAGAAATACAAACAAAACAAACAACAAGGAAAGATGCACAAAAAATGCAAAGTAGGAACCTTGAATAAATCCTAGATTTGGAAACATAGATGCTTCAATTCCAACAACTCTAGACACTTAAATTTTAACTGTATGTCAAATACATTGATTTAATTTTGTTGTTGTTGTTTTTTGTTTTTCAAGACAGGGTTTTTCTGTGTAGTTTTGGTGCCTGTCCTGGATCTCGCTCTGTAGCCCAGGCTGGCCTCGAACTCACAGAGATCCTCCTAGCTCTGCCTCCCGAGTGCTGGGATTAAAGGCATGAGACATTAACTTTTTGTTTTTTGTTTTTTTTTTCCGTTTTTCGAGACAGGGTTTCTCTGTGTAGCTTTGCGCCTTTCCTGGGACTCGCTTGGTAGACCAGGCTGGCCTCGAACTCACAGAGATCCACCTGGCTCTGCCTCCCGAGTGCTGGGATTAAAGGCGTGAGCCACCACCGCCCGGCCGAGACATTAACTTTTTAAAGTCACAAGAGTGGTACGATAATTAACACACACACACACACACACACACACACACACACACACACACACACACAGCAGGGTTATTTTTGGAGGCTGAGGTATGAACCACCATGGTGGGCTGAAAAAAAATATGTCTACTTTTGTGTGTCTCGAATGTGCCACAGTAACAGTGGGTCCTGGGGATGGAACTCAGGTTAGGGTGGTGGCAGGTGTCTTTTACCCACTGAGGCATCTCACTGGTTTAAGATGTCTATTTTTGGAAATAAAGAATAAATATGTAAAGTACTTAAATATTTTAATATTTTTTTTTCCGACAGAGTCTCGCTGTGTAGCCTGGAACTTATGTATAATAGGCTGGTCTTGACTTCAGAGACACGCCCACCTCAGCTACCTACACCCGGAAAAATAAAGTCATTTTTTTAAGTACTGGAAATTGAACCTAGGTCTTCGAACTCATGAATGCTGGCAAGTACATGGCCAGTGAGCTGTATCACCAGTCCTGTATATTTACTTTCTCTCTTTCTCTCCCTCTTTGTTTCTCTTCCCTCTCTCCCAGCTTTTAAATATTTATTTATTTTGGTGCTGGAGCTCAAACCTAGCGTTTTGCCCACAAGCGCTCTACTAAACAAACCATGGGGCTGGAGAGATGGCTCAGTGGTTAAGAGCACTGGCTGCTCTTCCAGATCGAACCTAGGTTCAATTTCCAGCACCAACATGGCAGCTCACAACTGTCTGTAGCTCCAAGATCTCACATGTTTACACAGACATACATGCAGGCAAAACACCAATGCACATAAAATCAGAATAAATAGCTTTTTTATTTATTTTTTATTTATTTATTTTGTGGTTTTTCGAGACAGGTTTTCTCTGTAGCTTTGGAGTCTGTCCTGGACTAGCTCTGTAGACAAGGCTGGCCTCGAACTCACAGAGATCCGCCTGGCTCTGCCTCCCGAGTGCTGGGATTAAAGGTGTGCGCCACCACCGCCCGGCATAAATAGCTTTTTAAAAAACTATGAAAATGTTAGCGGTTGTGAATCTTGAAGTTTCGGTTGCTTGTTTTACTAAGCTTCATTTTTTTATTGTTGTTGTTTTGTTTTTTCAAGACAGGATTTCTCCGTGTAGCCCTGGCTGTCCTGGAACTATGCAGAACGGGCCGGTCTCGAACTCACAGAGATCCGTTTTCTTCTGCCTCCCGAGTGCTGGACTAAGCTCCACATTTTGCTATGGGGAAATGCCGATTCAAAATAAGTAAGTAGCATTCCTACCTCTGGCACAGTTCATAGCAACGTTCCTTTGGGGAACGGCACAAACCGGAAAAACCGGTTCAAATCTTTACTTCCGTGCACTGTAGCCTGTGACCCGAGGTTTCTTTCTTATTGGAGGAAAAATCTGCCTCTCCTACCCTAGCAACCAGAAGATTCCCGCGCAGTCGCTGGGCGGAACTGACCTTTTCCTTTGACCAACCACTTTCCATTTACCCAGCCTCCTGATCCTGGGTGGACCAATCAAAAACAGTTAGTGAAGTGGTATTCCGGAGTGTCGGTTCTTGAGCGACAGCCCGGTCTTTCCGGTTTTTCTTTTCAACTTCCGGTAGAAACTGGTAGGGTCCGGGAGCACGAGTCATTACCGTGCGACTGACTTATTTGTTTCCAGCCGAAGGGGCCGGGCTGGGCTGTGCTGCTGTCCGCAACCGGCGCGGGCAGACGTGCCGCCATCATGTCAGACACAGACAGCGATGAAGATTCCGCCGGAGGAGGCCCGTTTTCTTTAACCGGGTTCCTGTTCGGAAACATCAATGGAGCAGGGCAGCTGGAGGGCGAAAGCGTCTTGGATGATGTGAGGCATGGGCGTGGGCCTGAGGCGGAGGGTGGTGTGGCTAGGGAGGACGGGTGGAGTGGAGACTGTTTAGGAATCGGTGACAGAGGGTGTTATAGTCCATTTGGGGGGCTCAGAGGAGCCCCTTCTCTTGGGTTTGAGGAAGAGTGGAGAGCGAGCGAGCGCGCGCGCGCTCAACTCTGAGGAAGGATGGGGAGAAAAGAGGAAAACGGTTAAGTGCCAGTCACTGACGCAGAGGTGTTTGGTTTGAAGGTAACAGTCTACTTGTTTGCTGGGAAAAAATAGTAGTTAAACCTAGCAAAGTTATCAGAACCGTTACTGTGTGAGATCCTTCTTGAAGATTGTTGGAACCCTGCTTGTCAGGTTTTCGTTCATCTGGAATGGCTTCAAAGCCAGGAGTATGGATGGAACCTGTGTTGTTTGCATCTGATCTATATGGAGTTGAGATTTCCTGTACAGTTCTTGCATGTGAAGTTCCTTTGAGCACATTGTGGAATCATTTTTTTTCAAATGGATTTGTGACTTTGTCATGAGCAAGGCAAATCAACCTTGTGCAGGACTTTCAGGTTTGGTTGTTACTTTCGACTCTCATGCTGTCCCTTTTTCAGGAATGTAAGAAGCATCTTGCAGGCTTGGGGGCTTTGGGTCTGGGCAGCCTGATCACTGAACTCACGGCAAATGAAGAATTGGCAGAGACTGATGGTGCCTTGTTAAATGACGAAGGTAAAGTGTGGGCCATGGGGAGTACAGTGTGGGTCAGGGGAGGAGGCTAGCTATCGTCTACGTACTTTTTGTTTGTTTGTTTGTTTGTTTGTTTTTCGAGACAGGGTTTCTCTGTGTAGCTTTGCGCCGTTCCTGGATCTCACTCCGTAGTCCAGGCTGGCCTCGAACTCACAGAGATCCGCCTGCCTCTGCCTCCCGAGTGCTGGGATTAAAGGCGTGCGCCACCACCGCCCGGCTCTCGTCTACGTACTTTTAAGTGGGAGTTATCTATGGAAGTGAGAATTACTTGCTTTTTTTTTGAGATATCTCCTTTTTGTCCATAGGTTGGATTAGGAGTAGAGAAGATGCTGTGGACTATTCAGACATCAATGAGGTGGCAGAAGATGAAAGCCGAAGATATCAGCAGACGATGGGGAGCTTGCAACCCCTTTGTCACTCAGGTGATTTTTGTTTTTTTAGTGACCGGGTCTCTCTGTGTAGCCCTGCCTGTCTTGGAACTCACTGTGTACACCAGGATGATCTAGAACTCATAGAGACCCACCTGCTTCTGCTTCCTAAGTGCTGGCATTAGAGATGTGCGCCACTATGCCTGGCATTCTTTAATGTTATAAAATTGGTAGTGTAGTACATTTTCTTCCTGGATAAATGTGTTTGGGGCTCTGACTTCTATTTTGATCTCTGACGTTGTTCTTTACTGTCTGTGAATTTCCTCTGTCTGCTAGTCCTATTGTCAATTCAGTTCCAAAGCGGTAGGTATCCTCTTTTACCAAGCTCAGGCTTTTATTCTCATAATGTTCAGTCTCAAATTGTTGGCTAATGACAAGGGTGATAATGATTTCTTGTCATTTGATCTTTTTTAAGTGCCTGTAGGTTTGAGATACTATTCTTAGATGCTCTTCGAAGTTAGAGATTAAAACAAATCCAGTCTTTGCCCTTAAAGAGTTTATAGATGAAGAAAAATGTGTGTGCTGCCATGCCCAGTGTTGTGTTTCTTTTTAAAAATAGGATGTCATGTGTCCTAGGTGGGTTAAATTCTAGATCCAAGGATGACCTTGAACTCCTGATTGTCCTGTATCCTGCAAAAGTGTTAAGATTAAAGGCATACATCACCATGTCTAGCAAAAAGTATATATATATACATTTCTATGCACACACACACACACACACACACACACACACACACACACACACACATACATTGAGACAGGGTCTCACTGTATAGCCCTGGCTGTCCTGGAACTCTCACCTCTAACTCATAGAGATCCACCTGCCTCTCCCTTCCTGAGTGCTGGGGTCAAAGACTTGTCTAGAGGTTTGAGAAATAAGAAAGTAATGGGGAATCCAGGTGTACTGGCTCTGACTAGCACCCGAGAGGCAGAGCCAGGCAGATCTTTTAAGTTCAACACCAGCCTGATGTACATAGTGAGTTCCAGGATATTCAGAGCTACATAGTGAAGCCTTGGCTCAAAACAAAAACAAAGAAAAAAGTAAAAAAGGAATGGGGAAATGAATTAGCCACTGGTATTTGTTTTGAGACAGGGTCTCACTGTGTAACTGCCTGGCCTGGAACTCATAGAGATCTACTTGCTTCTGCCTCCTATGTGCTAGGATTAAAGGCATGTGATATTAGGTCTCAGCCATTTTTTTAAGCCATGGGAAAAATACTGCTAAATAGCAAAAACCAAAGATAAGACAAATTTTGTAGTTTCTTTATGTATATATTTGAGATTTGATGCCATAAAGAGTTTCTGGCCAACATGATTGTTAAATAGTGTGATAGAATGGAAAGAATAGACTTCTGGGTCAGAATACTAAAGGTTGAAATCTCAATTCCATATTCCATTTATTATCGGACACTTGAATTTGTCATTTGTAGTAATCTCCCAGTTTTCTTCTTTAGTCAAGAAAATGATTAATGCTCTTTGGGAATTTAAGTTTGTGGTCACATGATGGGAGATCATCTACTAAACACACAAAAAAGAGTTGATAATCTAACTGGAAAGTTTCCTTTAGGCAGCCAAGATGTGGTAGAATTGTAGAATTACGGTAAATCAGGGCAAAACACGAAAATCTGGATTTAAATTAGGGTGGGAGGCAGAGGAGGTAGGTGGATTTCTGAATTTGAGGCCAGCTTTGTCTATATACAAATTTCCGCCGGGCAGTGGTGGCGCACGCCTTTAATCCCAGCACTACGGGAGGCAGAGGCAGGCGGATCTTTGTGAGTTCGAGGCCAGCCTGGTCTACAGAGCGAGTTCCAGGACAGCCAAAGCTACACAGAGAAACCCTGCCTCGAAAAACCAAAAACAAACAAACAAAAAAACAACAAAAAACAAATTTCCAGAACAGTCAGGGGTACATAAACGTGGTCTCAAAAAACCCCCACAGGATTAATAAAGGTAATTATTATTTTGTATGTGCACCATAGCACATGTGTAGAGGTCAGAGGACAGCTTTGTGGAGTTGGCTATTTCCTTCCATCTCTATGTGGGTCCTAGGGATTGAACTCAGGTGGCCAGACGTGCAGCAAATTCCTTTGTCCAATGGGCTGTCTCATTGACTCTTGGGGGCTTTTTTATTTAGGTTTATTTAATTTTATGTGTAGTGGTGTTTTTGCCTGCACGTATGTGTATGCATTGCCCACAGATGCCAATTGGATATGCTGAAACTGAAGTTACAGATGGTTGTGAGCCACTATGTGGGTGCTGGGAATCACATTCAGGCTGTCTGGAAGAGTAGCCAGTGCTCTTAACCACTGAGCCATCTCTCCAGTTCCGTGTCGTGTCCTCCCCTGTCCCCCTCCCCACGCGCGTGCGAGCGAGCTCTAAAGGAATTCCCCTCTTTAAAAGAGTCATGTCTTTATTTTTAAAAGATGTTTTTTATTTTTGTGGATGTGGGTGTTTTGCCTGTTTGTGTGTGTGTTCACCACGTGTGTGCCTGGTTCCCTTGGAGGTCATAAGAACCTGTCCTATCCCTTGGAACTAGAGTTAGGGAAGATTGTGAGCTGCCTTGGGTCTTCTGCAAGAACAAGAACAATAATTGCTTTTTTTTTCTGCTGAGCCATTGGTTCAGCCTCTATTTTTTGTTTATTTTTAAAATTACATTTATTTATTTTGCATGTGGAAGCCTATGTTCCAACACATAAGTCAGAGGGGAGCTTGAAGGAATCAGTTCTGCCCTACTATGTGGGCCCTGGGGATCAAACTCATGTTGTTATGATTTGTGGTAGGTGCCTTTACTCACTGAGCCATCCTGCTAGCTCCCTTGGGGGCTTTTTAGTTACTATCTTGAGGCAGGATGTCATGTAATACAGACCGGCCTTGAACATCTAATCATACAGCCTCTCCTTCCTAAATGTTGGGATTACAGGGATGTTCCACCATGCTGACTGGTAAGGATGATTGTTGAAAAGGGAAATATGTAGAACAAAAGACTATTTGAGCCAGCAAGCTAGTATATATGCCTGTAATCGCAATACTTAGGTTGCATGAGACCTTGTGTCAAAACATTGAAAACAAAATATGGGGCTGGAGAGAGAACTCAGTGATTAAGAGGACTAGCTCTTCCAGAGGTCCTGCAGTTCCCAGCAACCACATGGCAGCTTACAACCATCTATAGTGGGATCCAATGCTTTCTTCTGGTGTGCAGGTGTACATGCAGACAAAGCACCCATATACATAAAAAAAAAAACAAATCTTTAGTCAAGTGTGGTGGCACACACCTTTAGTCCCAGCACTTGTGAGGCAGAGGCAGGTGGATTTCTGAGTTTGAGCCAGCCTGGTTTACGAAGTGAGTTCCAGGTCACCCAGGGCTATACAGAAAAATTGTGTCTGGAAAAAACAAAACCAAAACAAAATATGTTGTCAGGACCAACTAGTGAGTACTGCCAATAGTTAAAAAGCACTGAGAAGAATGATCTACTGCCAAAATATAGCAGGAAAAGTGTATCAAAGACTTGGGAACTGTGCGCTTTTGTTTTTTTAATTTTAGAAACTGGGGAAGACTATTCAATTAGGAAATTGAACAAGGTGGAAAACAAAGCCCAGTATGATCAGGAAAAGGAGCAGTTAATCAAAAGGTTTCACACAGTTCCTGGAAGCTCTCATACTCCATGTGAGAGCTGAACATTTGACTATACCGTATCTTTCTGAAGGCAGAAGCTACATATTCTATGTATTTTTTTATGTTTTGTTTGTTTTTTGAGATAGTTTCTTAACTATGCAGCCGTGGCTGACCTCAAACTCAGAGAGCTACCTACTTCTGCCTTCTGAGTGTTGAGGTTAAAGGAGTGTTTTACACACACACACACACACACACACACACACACACAAGACTCTTCTGTATGTTCTTAAAGGATGCATAGTACTTCTGTGGTGCTTTAAATCTTGAGATTTGAAGGATGCTCAAAGATATTATATGGAATTCTTCCTATTGAGGAGATTACCTTGGTTTTAGGAGATTATGATGAAGATGACTATGATGCTGATTGTGAAGATATTGATTGCAAGTTGATGCCTCCCCCTCCACCACCACCAGGACCAGTGAAGAAAGAGAAAGACCAAGATGGTATTACTGGTGGTAAGTAAAAACTGTCTACTTTCCTTTTAGAAATGAGTTTCTATTCATCAAACCAGGCTTTTGGTATACTTAAGGGACTTTAAAAAAAATCTCTTAGAAAAGGATGGCACTTTTAGAAAAAAATCATATAGTGTCAAATACTGCTATTGAATAGAAATTTTCCTTTTAAAATGTTTAATACCACACAGTCAAGAAATAATAATTTAACAAAGTGCTTCTCAAATTAAGCTGCCCATCACATTTACCTAGAGTCTTGTAAAAAAAAAAATACAGATACCTGGTTATTTTGGAGTGTTTGATTCAGAAGATCTGGAATAGAGCCCAGTAATTTTTGTTAAGAGTTTCCCAAGAATTTTTTTTGAGACAGGGTCTTACTATGAAGCCCCTCCCTGGAACTCTGTATAATATGCTAGGCGACCTTCAAACCTGTAGCAATCCTTCTGTTTCTGCTTTCTTAGTGCTGGGATTACATGCATGAGCTACCACATTTTTGTTCCCCCAGGACCTTCTCCCCGCCCCACTCGAGACAGGGTTTCTCTGTGTAGCCCTGGCTATCCTGGAACTCACTTTGTAGATCAGGCTGGCCTTAAACTCACAGGGATCTGCCTGCCTCTGCCTCCTGAGATTAAAGGCATGTACTACCACCACCCAGCTTCCCCAAGACTTTCTGATGCAACTAATTTATATACTCATTTGGAAATTATCTGTTTTTTTAAAAAAACTTTTGCCGGGCAGTAGTGGCGCACACCTTTAATCCCAGCACTCGGGAGGCAGAGCCAGGGGGATCTCTGTTCGAGGCCAGCCTGGGCTACAGAGTGAGTTCCAGGAAAGGCGCAAAACTACACAGAGAAACCCTGTCTTGAAAAACCAAAAAAAAAAAAAAAAAACTTTTAATTTGGGCATGGTAGTATATGCCTGTATTCCCAATACTCTGAAGGCAGGAGGATGACTTCTAGTTTGAGGCTATGTAACAGAACCCTGTCTCAAGAATCAAGCAACCTTCTAGAATGTAGCATCACTTACCTTCAGAGATTTCAAAGATTGATAAGGTCTTGAGTTGTTCTCACTATTCTTATCCCTGTAACAGTAATAATACTGTCAGAGGTCAGACAACAAGGGAAGAACAGTACCTTTATTTTTGAAACAGGGCCTCACTGTGTATCCCTGGCTGGCCTGGAACTCCATGTAAATCAGGTTGGCCTTGAATTCACAGAGATTTTCTGGCCTCTGCTTCCTGAGTGCTGGGATCAAAGGTGTATGCCACCATGCCTTGGTCTTCTATATTTTGAGGCTTACATTAACCTAAATTCCTCCAGTTGGTGCTCTGACCATTTCCTTTAGTTTGCAAGGTAAATGTTATTTAACTTGGTGTGTGGAATTTTATTTTTTGTTATTCTGTGGGCTTAACAATTCTCCATCTTATAGATACCTGAACTGAACATAACAGGGCCTGATTAATGTGAAGTATTAATATAATTTTGCTACTAATCACAATATTGGGCACAGTATTGGTCATTTATGGAAAGTAGTAAATGTAGTAATAGTGTTTGTTTTCTCTCATCACAACCCTAGGGTACCAGGTCCAAGGTGAGTTGGGGATGGTGGGAAATAATAAGTTGGATGAGTTTTTTGGGCTGCATACTAGTAATCTGGGTGCTTGGGACTATATCCCCTGCCACAGAGCCATGCATATTAGCTTAGAAGGGGATGTTGGCTGAATTTGAGGAAATGTGTTCACAGTTACATGCCAAAGGGGTTTCTCTTCCTTGTTGCAGTGTCTGAAGATGGAGAAGGCATCATCTTGCCCTCCATCATTGCCCCTTCCTCTTTGGCCTCAGAGAAAGTGGACTTCAGTAGTTCCTCTGACTCAGAATCTGAGATGGGACCTCAGGAAGCAACACAGGCAGAATCTAAGGATGGAAAGCTGACTCTACCATTGGCTGGGATTATGCAGCACGATGCCACCAAACTGTTGCCAAGCGTCACAGAACTTTTTCCAGAATTTAGGCCTGGAAAGGTACTTTGTTTAGAGAATGTCCATAATGAAAACTGACTTTTTCCAGATTCCAAATTCTGTTGTTATAATGCTGAATATACAGTGCATGAGATTTAATGATGTTCTTATTCAGTGACAGATAATTGTTTGTATAGGAACTTTCCATACTGTATTAGATCATATTTTGAAGTTGTATGTATTCATAGGAAATGTGGCTTAGAATGTTTGCAGTAAAAATTGTCCAGCTGCCAGGCATGGATTGTTGTGAGTTCAAGGCCAGCTTGGTCTACATAGTGAGTTCCAGGACAGCCAAGGCTATGCAGAGAACCCTGTCTCAAAAACATCAACAAAATTGTCCTGTTAGTGGCTGGTGAGATGGCTCATTGGATAGAGGCACTTGCATGCATGCCTCAGGATCTGAGTTTGCTCCCCAGATCCCACAAATTGGTTGGAGAAAACCAACTCCTGAGACTTGTCCTTTGACCTCCACACATGTATTATGGCATGTACACCTGCACATGCACAAATATACACACACATAAATACATGACTAAATAAAATAACTTTCTTTGTTTTTTGGTTTTTTGAGACAGGCTTTCTGTTAGAATAAAAAGCAAACCAAGGGTTAGTTACTGTTCTATTGCTATGAAGAGACACCATGACCAGTACAACTTAAAGGAAGGCATTTAATTGGGGGCTTGCTTAAAGTTTAAGAGGGTTAATCCATGCACATCATGACAGGGAGCACGGTGACGGGTATGGCACCTAAGCATTAACAGAGAGCTTAAATCCAGATCTGCAGGCAGAGAGCAGGTGAGACTGGGCCTGGCCTGGGCTTTTGAAACCTCAAAGCCCACCCCCAGTGACACACCTCCAATAAGGCCACACACCTTAATTCTTCCCAAATGGTTCTATTAACTGGGAACACAGCATTGAAATATATGAGTCTATGGGGGCCATTCTCTTTCAAACTACCATATCAGACATAGTATAGACCTATGACCCCAGCTACTAGGGAGACTAAGGAAGGAGGACCATAAGTTCAAGACTTCCTGGGCTTCAAAGAGTGAGTTCAAGAACAGCCTGAGCATCTTAATGAGACCCTGTCGTAAAAGCTGAGGGTTAGCCAGGCAGAGGCAAGTGGATCTCTTGAGTTTGAGGCCAGCCTGTTCTACATAGAGAATTCTAGGCCAAGGATACATAGTGAGACTCTGTCTCAGAAAACAAAATAAAACAAAGCTAAGGACTGGGAATGTAGCTCATTGATAGCATGTAAGTCCCTAAGTTCAAAGTCCAGTACCACATGAAAAAGAAAAAGGGAGAAAAAAAAAAGAAATTGTCTTTCTAAGGGATAGTACTTTCATGGTCTGAACTTAGCATTCCTTCATTTTCTCCCTTGCAATTGAATAGATAGCTTGAGAGTTTTTCAGACACCAAATCTCTGACATAATAGTATGTTATGTGTTCTAGGTGTTACGCTTTCTACGTCTTTTTGGACCAGGAAAGAATGTTCCATCGGTTTGGAGGAGTGCTCGGAGAAAGAGGAAAAAGAAGCACCGTGAGCTTATACAGGAAGAGCCAACGCTGGAGGAAGAGTGCTCAGTAGAACTAGAAGTCAACCAGAAATCTCTGTGGAACTATGACTATGCTCCACCTCCACCTCCAGAGCAGTGTCTCTCTGATGATGAAGTAGGCAAAGGAGACATGGGGGCATGCAGAAAGCTCTCTAGCTTGTGTCAAAGTGGGAACTAACACTTCAGCATTAAGAGTTCTTTGCTAGCTGGGCTTGGTAGTGCATGCCTTTAATCCCAGCACTTGGCAGGCAGAGGCAGGTGGATCTCTGTGAGTTCAGGGCCAGCCTGGTCATCAAAGCAAGTTCCAGGACAACATAGAGAAATCTTGTCTCGAAAAACAAACAAACAAAAAAAAGAGTTCTTTGCTACTTACTAATAATAATTATGAGTTAAATGCAGTGTCTCACCTTTCCTGTTGTAACAGAAAAATATTTGGTGGGGCAGGGCAGGGTAGATGGTGATACATTGCTAAATATAAGGCTGTGACTTGTGGACAGAGCATGCGATGATATAACTCTCTTTTTTTATATTCTAACTCCAGGTAAAAATTCCTATTCAGGAATCATACTTGTGGTTCCTCTAAGTCACCTTATGATAGTTAATTTTCTTGTAGCCTTAGGTCATCTGGAATAGCGAAGCCCCACCTCTGCATACTTGACTCTGTTACAGATCACAATGATGGCTCCTGTGGAGTCCAAGTTTTCCCAGTCCACTGGAGACACAGATAAAGTGATGGATACCAAACCAAGAGTGGCAGAATGGCGTTATGGACCTGCCCGGCTGTGGTACGATATGCTCGGTGTCCCTGAAGATGGTAGTGGGTTTGACTATGGCTTCAAAATGAGGAAGACTGAACATGAGCCCACAGTACAATGCAATATGATGACGGTAAGCAATTCTGGTATATAAGAGAGGAATCAGTGTACTTAGGGTTCTGTCATTTTTACTAACTTCTCAGCTGGGAAGTTCTTGGGTAGAATCTTTAGTAGGAGATTTGTATAGTGGGGTATATCATCATGTAACTAAACTTTATTCTAAGGATTCTGTTTTTGAAATGGGTGCTGTTCCAAAGTAAGAGTTGGAGAAGAGGCAGATTTTTTTCTTTTTTTCTTTTTAAAGATTTATTTATTTATTTTGTATACAGCATGTATCCCTGCAGGCCAGAAGAGGGCACCAGATCTCATTACAGATGGCTGTGAGCCACCATGTGGTTGCTGGGAATTGAACTCAGGACCTCTGGAAGAGCAGTCAGTGCTCTTAACCTCTGAGCCATCTTTCCAGCCCCAGATTTTTTTTTCTTATCAGGCACTTTGCATAAGTAGAACATCACTTTTTTCTGTGCTAGAGATTGATCCCAGGGTCTTGCACATGTGGGGCAAGCACTCTGCCACTGGGCTATATTTTCAACCCTTGGCTCTTTGAGGCAGGGTCTCACTTTGTATCCCGGACTGACCTCAAACTTGGAATTCTCCTTTCTGCCTCCCAGGTGCTAGGATTGCAGGTATTGGACACTAAGTCTGACACAGCACCACTTGTGATACCACATGAATCCTTTACTGTCTGGATTGGGAACTTTGACCAGTGACTGACTTATTATTCTTTCTACTTGTACAGAAACTAAGGAATCTTGAGGAGGGCAATGGCATTGATCTTCTGGCAGATGAAAACTTCCTAATGGTGACACAACTGCATTGGGAAGATGACATCATCTGGGATGGGGAGGATGTCAAACACAAAGGAACAAAACCTCAGCGTGCAAGTTTGGCAGGCTGGCTTCCGTCCAGTATGACTAGGAATGCCATGGCCTACAATGTCCAGCAAGGTGTGCTTCTCTTCTAACAGTGTTGTGCACACAGTTCTTCATCTCAGTCATCATAAGGAATCCGAGTTACGGTCTTTTAGGCTGTTCAGGCAGAGTAAAATGCTGTAAATCTAATCCCTGATTTATTTTCATTTTTTATTTATAAAGGCACTTGATCATTTTATAATTTTTTTCTCAACCATGAAAACAGTGTCAAAAAGAAAAATTCTGATATTCTAGAGATCATCAGTTATTAACTTTTTAATGTGTTTTCTGCATGTATATGGTTGAGCTTAGTTAATTTTTAATGTTGAGACAAGGTCTTGCTCTGTACCTAAGGCTAATCTGGAACTCACTCTATAGCCCAGGATATCCTTAAACTCACCATCTTCCTAATTCAAGCTTCCCAAGTACTATTATTATAAGTATTTCTTGCCATATATGATTTGAGTTCAGTGTCATACATACTGTTTTTGTTTTTGTTTTTTTTTAAGTTAGTGTTGCGATGTAGATCAAGCTGGCCTTGAACTCACAGAGATCTACCTGCCTCTGTCTTCTGAGTACTGTGGTAGTGGTGTTCTTTTTGGAGACAAGGTCCTGCCTATCTTGTATCCCAGGCTGGCCTCAGATTTGCTGCAGTCTTCCTGCCTCAGTCTCACAAGAGCTGGGATTAGATGTGTAAGCCTCTTCACCCATGCTATACTGTGGTTTTTCTTTTGCTTTTTTGTTGTTTGAGACAGGTTCTCACTGTGTAGTCCTGGCTGGCCTGGAACTTTATATCTGTAGAACAGACTGGCCTATATTTACAGAGATCTGCCTGTCATTGCCTCCCAAGTGCTGGGATTAAAGGTGTGTGCCACCACACCTTGTTGATTTTTTTCTTAACATAATTTTTATATGTAAGTTTTTAAAGTTGGTCGTAAAAATGTTTAAAGACGTGGAAACTATTAATTATTTATTGAATTTTTAAATGAAAAATGGTTTTAAATACCTCCATCTTATCTGTTTGTGTCAGAGCTATCAGTTAGACTTGAAAGCACTTTAAACAAGTCCTTGACGATCTCTAAATTATTCTTGATGATCTTGATAACCCTTTAACCAACACTGAGGACAGAGGGTCATATTAAAAAGTCACGTTGGCCGGGCGGTGGTGGCACACGCCTTTAATCCCAGCACTCGGGAGGCAGAGCCAGGAGGATCTCTGTGAGTTTGAGGCCAGCCTGGTCTCCAAAGTGAGTTCCAGGAAAGGCGCAAAGCTACACAGAGAAACCCTGTCTCGAAAAACCAAAAAAAAAAAAAAAAAAAAAAAAAAAAAAAAGTCACGTTGATTTATTGGATTTTTGAGACAGGATTTCATGCCATAGCTCTGGCTGGTCTGCTACTTGACATGTATGTAGTCTAGGCTTGCCTTGAACTTGAAGTAATCCTTCTGCCTTAGCCTCTTGAGTACTGTGATTGGAGGTAAATGCCAGGAAACATTTAAAATGGAAAGAAAACAAGATATGAAACAGCATATTTGGTATATTTCATTTGTAAAAATGAAAAATACAACTGTATAAACAAAAAATATGAGTAAGAGAAAATCTACTAAAGTATTGGCAGTAATTAGTTTCTTTTTTTCTCTTTATGCCATTCTGTGTTACCCAAATTTTCTCAGTTACCCTGGATTCATTGTACAATTTAAGCCATACACCACCACCACTGCCCCACCATTGATTTTTTTTTTTTGAGACAGTCTTACAATATATAGCTCAGGCTGTCCTAGAACTCATTATTTTCAGCCCCTACCTCTTGAGTGCTGGGGTTATACATATGTACCACCACACCCAACTCAAAAATGTCTTAATTTTTTTTTTTTTTTTTGCTTTTTCAAAACAGGGTTTCTTTGTGTAGCCTTGGCTATCTTAGAACTAGCTCTAGACCAGGCTGGACTTAAACTCAGAGATTCTCTTGCCTCTGCCCTGTAAATGCTGAGATTAAAGGCATGCACCACCATCTGACTAAAAATACCTTAATTTTTAAAATCTTGTAAAAAGGTTTTTCTCTTCAGTTCTAGTTAAGTACTTTATTAGTTGAATAGTTTTTCTTTTGAATTTTTGGGTTTTCGGGGGGACAAAGTCTTACTGTGTAGCCCTGGCTGGCCTCCACTTGTCTCTGCCTTCCAAGTGCTAGGATTAAAGGAAAGTACCACCATACCCAACTCAGTTACATAGTATTTTTGATACAAGATCTTGGTGGGTAGCCAGTCAGGCCTCAAGTTTACAATCTTTCTCTTAGCTTCCCAAGTGTATAGTATTCTTATTTTATGCATAATGTTCTTAGAAGTTTGTTTTTCTTACTTACCAGTAATTGCTTTATTTGTTAATATAGTTAAATACCAATGTTTATCACCATGTATATATGTATATTGTTTGATATTGTTATATATATTGTTTATCGAGATGGGGTTTCACTGTGTAGCTGTGGCTGTCCTGGAATTCACTTTGTAGACTAGACTGGCAGTGAACTCAAAGAAATCCACCTGTCTCTGCCTCCAGAATGCTGGTATTAAAGACGTGTGCCATGACCTCCTGGCTCACCATAATTTTTTATTTAATTTGTTTATTTTTATTTTATGTGTATTGGTGTTTTGCCTGTAGTTATGTCTGTGTGGGGATGTTAGATCCCCTGGAACTGGAGTTACAGTGGTAAGCTACCATGTGGGGGCTGATAATTGAACCTAGGTCCTCTGGAAGAACAGCCAGTGCTCTTTGAGCCATCTCTCCCGCCCTTCACCATAATTATTTAGTTAGTCCCTTAGTAAGTAGGCTGTTTAAGTTTTAACTGTTATAAACAATATTGCAGTGAACATTTTGTCATCAGTGGTTTCTGTCAAAGTGAGATATACATGATATCAAGTAGGTTCCTTTTGAATAGCTATGACTACCTACACTAATATTCATTGTTTTTATGTTTGCTAGAATCATGACTGAAAGGAGCACTAATTTTTTTTTTTTTGTTACTGTTTTCTCCTCTTGTTTTGGCCAGGTTTTGCAGCCACACTGGATGATGATAAACCTTGGTATTCCATTTTCCCCATTGATAATGAAGATCTGGTATATGGACGTTGGGAGGACAATATCATTTGGGATGCTCAGGCAATGCCCCGGATTTTGGAGCCTCCTGTATTGACACTTGATCCCAATGATGAGAACTTGATTTTGGGTATGGTGATGGCAGAAGCCAGTGTTCTTTATCTTTGACATCTTACTATTAATGTCAAAGGGCAAAAGGAATTCCAAAGGGCAAAACTAGAAACTGTTTTATTAATTAAATTTATTCATGTATTTTACATACTGACTGCAGTTTCCCCTCCTTTCTTTCCTCCCATTCCCTCCCCCCAAAACTAAAAACGTTTAGGAAATGATTTTTAAAAAGAGATGTAGCTGCCAGTTTCTAGTGTTTAGAAAAAACTCATGTAGGAATGTTGAAAATTTTACCTTTAAGATCAGACATGTAAGCCAGGCATGGTGGCACATGCCATTAATCCCAGCACTTGGGAGGCAGAGGCAAGCAGATCTCTGTGACTTCAAGGCCAGCCTGGTCTACAAAGAGCATTCCAGGACAGCCAGGGCTGGTATACAGAGAAACCCTGTCTCAAAAAACAAAAAAAATCAGGCTTGTAGTTGAGTGAATTACCAACTAAAAGTAGTCTGAAAGTGGAGTGAGAGATCTACTTTGAAACTCAAAATATCAATGGGAAATGTGAATTTTAGTTGGACCTGGTGGCATGTGTCCCAGGTACTTGGGAGGCCAAGGCAGGAAAACTGTAAGTTCAAGGATTGTCTAGGCAACAGAGTATGTTCCAGGGCAGCTTTGTCCACTTATTGAGATTCTATCTAAAAATAATGCAAAAGGAGGTCAAAAGGACTGGAGATGTCGCTCAGTGGTAGAGTCCTTGCCTAGCTTGTGTAAGACCTTAGTTTTAGTCCTTAGTACTGCATAGAGGGGTGTGTGGGAAAGGGTGGGAGAGAGGTGAAAAGGAAAGAGGAAGGGAAGAAGAGGAGGAGGAAAGAAAGAAAATGAGCATTTAGGGATAGCAATTTGGAAGTTTTCTGGTTCCATCCTCAGAGATCCCCGATGAGAAGGAAGAAGCTACTTCTAATTCTCCTTCCAAGGAGAATAAGAAAGAATCATCTCTGAAGAAGAGTCGAATTCTCTTAGGAAAAACAGGAGTCATCAAGGAAGAACCACAGCAGGTTTGTGAAAAGAAAAGAACTTGGTATTTAGAAGAACAAAGAAAGGTATTAGGAAAGGGTTGTCTGACCAAGGCTTATTTGATCTATCATTAGAACATGTCTCAGCCAGAAGTGAAAGATCCATGGAATCTCTCCAATGATGAGTATTACTATCCCAAGCAACAGGGTCTTCGTGGTACTTTCGGAGGGAATATTATCCAGGTACAAATAGCTCCTTTGTTTTGATGGAGGATATGGGTAAATCTTGCCTAGGAAGGAGTTAGTGTTTACTTAATAACTCTTCTGTTTTCTGTTTAGCATTCAATTCCAGCAGTAGAATTACGGCAACCCTTCTTTCCTACCCACATGGGACCCATCAAACTCCGGCAGTTCCATCGACCACCTCTAAAAAAGTACTCCTTTGGGACACTATCTCAGCCAGGTCCACACTCAGTCCAGCCTTTGCTGAAGCACATCAAAAAGAAGGCAAAGGTATAATTGCATCCTCGTTAGAAAAAATGTTTTGTAAGATAATTGGGGTACAAATTGGGATACTGTACTGGTTATTAGGTTATATTAGAGAATTGTTTATTTTCTCAGCTGTGATACAATTTTATTTTGGTTATCTAGAAAGATATCCTTATTCTTAGAAGATATATATGAATATAATTAAGGCTAAAATATTGCAGCTTTCAAAACTGGTTTACTAAAATCTGTAGAAAATTTACAGATAAATAGTGAAAATGTTTAAGGAGTGAAATAAAGGATGTTCTTCCAATTTTAGTGGTATGTTTGAAAGTTTTCACAATGAAATGAAAAAAGAATAACATTGTTGTTCGAATCTTAGATGGTCTTTTAATAAAAAAAAACCCAGAGTGAAAAATCAGAGAAGCAGAACAGCCAGCCACTAGTTCTTACCTCTACGAAATCCTCAGCCTAAAGAGAGTGAGTTCCTATTTCCTCACGCCTTCTATACCTTTCTCTGCCCTGCCATATTACTTCCTGGGATTAAAGGCATGTGTGCTTCCCAAGCAGAGGCATGAGATCTCAAGTGCTGGGATTACAGGTGTGTGCCACCACTGCCTGACCTGTATGTCTAATCTAATGGCTGGCTCTGTCCTGATCCTCAGGCAAGTTTATTAGGGTACACAATATATCACCACATTTAAGAACTAGTGGCTGACTGTTCTACTTCTCTGATCTTTCAGCTTTCACCTTGATATGTGGCTCTGGTTTTTTTTTATTAAAAGACAACTAAGATTCAAACAACATCACATGGTAAAGACATTGGTATTCTCTTAAATTGGATGATGTCAATGTGTGTAGTTTATCTTCCTGTTGGAAATAGGCTGTATTGTCTTTATTCTGGACAGATGAGAGAACAGGAGAGGCAAGCCTCAGGTGGTGGAGAGATGTTTTTTATGCGCACGCCTCAGGACCTTACAGGCAAAGATGGAGACCTTATTCTTGCAGAATACAGTGAGGAAAATGGACCATTAATGATGCAAGTTGGCATGGCAACCAAAATAAAAAACTACTATAAACGGGTGAGTCTGTGCTATGCTGTGCTGTGTGTGTGAGTGTGTTTAAAAAATTACTCATTTACATTTATTTTATGTGTATGAGTGTTTTGCTGCATGTATGTATGTATGTGTACTACATGTATGTCGGGTGCCTGAGGGGGCCAGAAAAGTGTGTCGGATCCTCTGGAACTGGAAGTTTGGATGGTTGTAATCCACCATACGAGTGCTGAGAACCAATCCTGGGTCCTCTGTAAGAGCAACAAGTGCTCTTAACCATGAAGCCATCTCTCCAGTCCCTGAAATGTTTGTTATCAATATAACTGTAATTAGGTATGTAGTGATAATCTGTGAACATGTATTTTTGTCATATACATTTCTTGGGAGAAAGGAGTGGTGTCTCTTGTTAATAGCAAATGCTATGCTTATGTAAGATTACATGTGTGTTTATTGGTTTTATTCTGTGAGTCTAACTGAGTTTACTATGTTTTTCTTAGAAACCTGGAAAAGATCCTGGAGCCCCAGATTGCAAATACGGAGAAACTGTTTATTGCCATACATCTCCTTTCCTGGGCTCTCTCCATCCTGGCCAGTTACTGCAGGTGAAGAATTCTTTCCTGTCTTTATTCTCTCCTAAGGAAATTGACAGATAAGGAGCAAGTTTGCCCAGAAAGAAACAATTCTGATTGGTTGAGGTACTGTTCATGTATAGGTATAATGTAGTATAAGTGATGGTGGGTGTGGTGGTGCACACCATTAATCTCAGCACTTGGGAGGCAGAATTTGAGACCAGCTTGGTCTACATACTGAGTTCTAGGTCAGCCAGGGCTATGTAGTAAGACCCTATCTCAAAAAAGGAGGGGTCTGGAGAGATGGCTCAGCATCTAAGAACACTGGCTACTCTTCCAGAGGACTGAGTTTGATTCCCCAGCACCTAGATGGCAGCTCAGAAATATCTGTAGCTCTACTTCCAGGGGATCTGAACCCTCTTCTAGTTTCCTTGGTCACTTCATCTGTGTGGTACAGAGACATAGATGAAGGCAAAACACTCATACACATTTTTAAGAAATAAAAATTAAAGAATTAAAAGTGAAAAATTAGTATAATCTACTGGACATGGAGGGCAGGAGGATCAGGAGTTCAAGGTTATCCTTGGCTATGTTGCAAGTTTGAGGCCAGTCTGGTAAACCAGCAAAAGATCAGTATAATTTAAAATTTAAGATAAACTTTTTTTCTTTTTCTTTTTTTTTTTTTTTGGTTTTTCAAGACAGAGTTTCTCTGTGTAGCTTTCCTGGAACTCACTCTGTAGCCCAGGCTGGCCTTGAACTCACAGAGGTCCACCTGCCTCTGCCTCCTGGGTGCTGGGATTAAAGGCATGTGCCACCACTGCCAGGCGTCAAACTTTTTTTTCTTAAAAATAATTCTCAGTTATTTTTCAGATTTTTTTCTTTACGCTAAATATAGAATAGTGGGGTATTTTTTTATTGTTTGATTTGTGGGGTTTTTTTTTTTTGTGTGTGTGTGTGTGTGTGTGTGTGTATGTGTGTGTGTGTGTGTATTTTTTGAGCTAGGATCTTACTCTATAGCACAGACTGACCTGAAACTTACTATGTAGCCTAGATTGGCCTCAAACTTTGGGTCAGTCCTTAGCCTTATGAGTACTGGGATTGCAAATAAAAAATAAAACAGCTTTTTGAAAATATACACTGGCTGCTGGTGGTGGTGATGCACACATTAATCCCAACACTAGGGAGGCAAAGGCAGGTGGATCTCTATGAGTTTGTGGCCAGCCTGGTCTACATAGTGAGTTCCAGGACAGCCAGAGCTACATAGTGATACCCGGTTTCAAAAAAAAAAAAAAAGGGAAAGAAGGAAAAAAATATATAAAAATACACTCCGGTAGCTCGGTATGGGTGGTGCCTGCTTGCAGTCCCAGTACTAGAAGGCGCAAATTTGAGGCTAGCCTGGACTGTCGAGTGAGACCTTGTCTCCAAAATAAAAAAGCAAAAACAAAACACTGGGAAGTCTACGTAGAATTAATGTAGGTTATGAGTGTTTTCAATTTTTTGTGTGAAATTAGTATGTTTGAGGAACTAGAAATGTCAGCTCAGTGGTAGAATGCTTACCTAGCATGTTGAAGACTCTGGCTTTGTGTCTAGCACTGCAAAAAAAAGTGGTACATTTTGATGGTAATTAGTTGTGGCCATTGTGAATACCGAATCATACTTGAATCATATATCGTCTCGCCAGAGTGAAGTGCTGCTCTTTGTGCTTTCTTCTGAAGGTTATAGTGAGGTCCTCTGGCAGTAGCTTTTAAAAAGTACTATGGAGGTCCACAAATGATACGGAACAATCTCCAGAACTGCCTACCTCCTTTTTTCTCCCATTTCATTTCTCAAGCTAATCTTTTCCTTTTTTTCTCTTTCTTTTTTAGACAGGAACTTACTCTGTAGTCTAGAAATGGCCTGGAACTTGGTATATAGACAAGTTTGGCCTTGAACTTGTAGCAACCCTCCTGGCTCTGCCTCCCAAGTACTAGGATTCCAGGTGTGTGACACAGTGTCCATAGCAATCTTAAACATTCCTTTATTCTTGTATCTTATTTATTTATTCCACTGTCACTATTGCTCGCTTTTCTGCACCTGCAAGTTCTTTAATCATTCCTTCTAGGTTTGTCAGGGCAGGTAGTACTGGAGAATTAAACCTGGGGCCTTGTGTATGCAAGTCTGAGATTAGTCTGGTAAACTGAGTTTAACCCTAACCCTAACCCTTAGCCCCTCTCACCGGATTCTGATTATTGTTTGCTTTCCTGTTCTTTGAGGTTTCTTGTTGGTGGTTTTTAAATAATCCATCTTACTCTCTTGTGACTACTTTTATAGTTTTTTTTAACACTGTGTGTGTGTGTGTGTGTGTGTGTGTGTGTGTGTGTGTGTGTGTGTGTGTGTTAGGGAGGTTGAAGGACAATTGCAGGAGTCAATTCTTGCTCTACATGTGAGTCTTGGGGATTGAACTCAGGTTTAAGTTTGGTGGCTAACATTCTTACCTGCCAAGACATCTAGATGACTCTGGGTTTGTTTTTGTGTTTTTTTTTTTTCCTTCGAGATGGGAGTCTTAGGTAACACAAGCTTCCCAAGTGCTAGGATTATAGGTGTGTACCACCACCATGCCCAATTATTTGTAGGGCATGTTTGTGCGTGCATGCCATGTGTGTGTGATCACATGAGTGTGTGGGTACATGTACATGCAGAGGTCAGAGCAGGATATTTCACTTTTGTGGTTCTTCAAAATATCACTTGAATGGCCCTGATAGTCTTTGAGGGACTCTCAAACTTCTGTCTAAAACTTCATAAGCCATGTTTCCATCATCTGTACTGTTCTCAGCATTATCTTAGAAGTTTCCATAGAACAGATGATTAAACTCTGAACACTCAGTGGCTTTTCCAGCCCAACATTCCAAACTCCTTTAAAAATCCTCCCCGAAAAAAACACAGTCATGTGTGTCACAGCAATATCCATGATCCTGGTACCAATTTTTCTGTCTGAGGATTTCTATTGCTGTGATAAAGCACCATGACACACCAGGATTTACATGGGGGAAAGAAAGAATTGACTCATGCAAGTTGTCTTCTTGTCTTCTACATGTACTTCATGATACACATGTGCCCACATTTGTACACACACACACACACACAAAATAAATGAGAAATGTAACTAAAACTTAAAAGATTATTTACCATCTTCTGTAAGTCTATCTATAGTGAACATTAAGAATTTATTTTCTCAGCTGGGTTTTGGTGGCACACACCTTTAATCCCAGCACTCAGGAGGCAGAGGCAGGCGGATCTCTGAGTTCAAGACTAGCTTGGTCTACAGAGCGAGTTCTAGGACAGCCAGGTTCTAGGACCCTGTCTCTAATGCCCCCGCCCCCCGAAAAAAAGAATTTAATTTCTCCACCAGTATGATGAAAGTCTTCCTTTTTAATGCTCATTAGTAGGATTTTTTTTGTTTTTGTTTTTCAAGAGAGGGTTTCACTGCATAGCCCTGGCTAGCCTGGAACTCAGAGATCTGCCTGCCTTTGCCTCCTGAGTGCTGAGATTAAAAGCATGTGCCACTACTGCCTGGCATTATCAGGAATTTTAAAAAATGATTTATTTATTTTTATTTTTTCTATGCATTGTGTCTTTGTGAGGGTGTCAGATCCCCTGGAACTGGAGTTACAGACAGTTGTGAGCTACCATGTGGGTGCTGGGAATTGAATTCAGGTCCTCTGGAAGAGCAGCCAGTGCTCTTAACCACTAAGCCATCTCTCCAGCCCCCATTATTAGGACTTTTTTTTTGTCTTTTTTTTTTTCAGAGGACCGAACCCAGGGCCTTGCGCTCTACCACTGAGCTAAATCCCCAACCCCTATTAGGACTTTTAAACAATTATTTTTATTATTTGTTTGTGCACACATGTTGAGCCAGAAGAGGGTGTGTCTGATTACTTGTATCTAAAGTTTTAGGTATTTCTTAGCTGTCAGATGTGGATACTAAAATTAGAACTCCAGGCCTCATAGTCGAGTAGCAAGTGCCTTTAACTGCTTAGCCATCTCCCCAGCTCTCTTGGATTTTTTTGGTGTTGGGGGATACTTTTCTTTAGATTCAGAGTTTATAATAGTTGATCCCTATCTTGTTTGTACTTTTTTTAATTGCTTTTTTAAAAAAATTTATTTATATTTTATGTGCATTGGTGTTTTGCCTTCATGCATGTGTGAGGGTATCAGATCTCCTGGAATTGGAGGTACAGACAGTTGTGAGCTGCCATGTGGGTGCTGGGAACTGAACCCTCGTCCTCTGGGAGAGCAAGCCAATGCTCTTAACCTCTGAACATCTCTCCAGCCTCCCTGGCTTCTACTTCTATCTCCGATATTTTTGTCCAACTGCTCTTCTGCTTTTGTTCATTCTGTCCTCTTAGCAGACTTTCCTTCATTATTTTGTTTAATTTTTAATTTTTAATTAACTAATATATTCAAAACTGTTGTGAAGCCAGGCACAATGCCTGGGACCCTAGTACTCAACAGTCTAGTGATACAGGAGAACTGCCTTGTTTTTGAGACCTCCGTGGGCTTCTGTGAGACCCCATCCCTCTAAATTGTTTTTTTGTCTTCACCTCTTGTGTATGAGACTGGAGGGTAGGAGTATATTACTGGATTAATGTATAAAGCTCTTCATAGTAGTCCTGTGAAGTAGAGGTGTTTTAAGTATCCTTTATTTTGTAACTGAGGAAACTTAAGCTCAGAAACTTTGACTTGAGTGACTACTTCATACAGTGACTACCATAGGCTCTTTCTTCTGAATCTAAACTGTATACTTTCTTTTATTTTTTTTTGAGTCAAGTGTCTCTCATATAGCCTGTGTTGCCTTCAAACTTGCTATGTGGCCAAGGATGGCCTTGAACCCCTGATCCTCTTGCCTCTACTTTCCAAGTGCTGAGAGATTATAGGTATGGGTTATAACACCTTTTCTTCCAATAAATACTGTTATTTAATTTCTTTATTTGTGTGTATAGGTGGTGATTATATGCCTGTGTGGAACTCAGAGCCAGCGGTCAATATTGCTTGTCTTTCTCTGTTACTCACTACCTTATTGTTTTGAGATAGCATCTCTCAGATCCTGGAGGTTACAGTTTTGCCCGGACTGGTTGGCTAGTGGTTTTCTAGGATCTTGTCTTCACTGTTCCTCTCCCTGTCACCACTGGGATTATAGACAGATGCCTCTGTGTTCAGCTTTTTATGTGAGTGCCGGGGATCCAGACTCAGGTTCTCATGCTTATACAACAAGCACTTTACCTGCTGAACCATCTCCCAGCCTCATTCTATTCTTTTTTGAGGGATGGGGTCCTCATGCGGCCAGATTGGCCTCAAATTCACTATGTAGTCAAGGCTGACCTTTAATTCCTAATCTTCCTGCTTTCCTAACAAAGGCTGGGATTAAGGGAATGTGCCACTATGTCTTGCTCTGACTCATTTTTTTAAAGATAGATTTATTTATCTGTCTGTCTGTCTATCTATCTATCTATCTATCTATCTATCTATCTATCTATCTATCTATCTATCTATCTGTTATGTATAGTGTTCTGCCTACATGCATACTTGCAGGCCAGAAGAGGGCTCCAGATCTCATTACAGATGGTTGTGAGCCACCATGTGGTTGCTGGAAGAACAGCCAGTGCTCTTAACTGCTGAGCCATCTCTCCAGCCCCCCCCCCCACTCAGTTTTTTATTTGAGTGTCAATCTCATGCCATAGCTCAGGCTTTTGATCTTCCTGTTTCAGTCTCCTGAATGCTGAGATTATAAGCATTCTCTGCCATTCCTGGCTCTATTTTTAAAGTTTTTATTTCTTTTTGTCTGTTAAATTCTAAAAGATAATATTAGCCAGGCAGTGGTGGTACATGCCTTTAATCCCAGCACTCAGGCGTAAATGGCAGGCAGATTTTTTTAGTTGGAGGCCAGCCTCGTCTACAGAGCGAGTTCTAGGACAGCTAAGGCTACAAAGAGAAACCCTGTCTCAAAAAACCAAAATAATAATAATAATCTTGTTAAATTAAAAATAAATAATCTAGCCGGGCAGTGGTGGCACACGCCTTTAATCCCAGCACTCGGGAGGCAGAGGCAGGCGGATCTTTGTGAGTTCGAGGCCAGCCTGGTCTAGAGAGCGAGATCCAGGAAAGGCGCAAAGCTACACAGAGAAACCCTGTCTCGAAAAACCAAAAAAAAAAAAAAAATCTTGTTAAATAAATCCATATCATTTGCTTATTTTATTGTATAGATTTTAGATCTAATGAATATAGATAGTGGTAAGTTTTATTTTCCTATTTCAGTTGTTGGCTAAATTTTCTAGGGTTTCTTTGTAAATAACTTTCGTGGTTTACTTTCATTAGGCATTTGAGAACAATCTTTTTCGTGCTCCAATTTATCTTCATAAGATGCCAGAGACTGACTTCTTGATGATTCGAACAAGGCAGGGTTACTATATTCGAGAATTAGTGGACATTTTTGTGGTGGGCCAGCAGTGTCCCTTGTTTGAAGTTCCTGGTCCTAACTCCAAAAGGGCCAATACACACATCCGAGACTTTCTGCAGGTAAGATGGGAGTTGGGCTAAGATGCACATGCTAATCAAAAGATGAAAACAAAACTGAGCTTAGTTGGGGAAGGGACCCTGGTGAGGACTTTTATCCTTTATCTAATAAAGTGTATTTGACGTACTGGACAGGTTTTTATTTACCGCCTCTTTTGGAAGAGTAAAGATAGGCCACGGCGGATCCGGATGGAAGATATAAAGAAAGCCTTTCCTTCACATTCAGAAAGCAGCATCCGGAAGAGGCTAAAGCTCTGTGCTGACTTCAAACGTACAGGTCATCAGTGTGACTACTTGTCTTTTCTGTGATACTCTCATAATCCCAAACAATTATGACTTTCAGTTAAAAGAAATCATAGCTAATAGAATAGAAATTGATGTCTGTCAAAAGGAGAAGGTACCAAATCTTGTAACTAGAGGCTTTGATTGCTTTTTTGATAATTTGATGATAATTGGTTACTAGGAGAGTCCATGTGAGTATTTGCATGTCTTACTTAAGATGTAGGAAGCCTGGCAGTGAGGTTTTGTTGACTAGTCCTATCTAGACATTACTTGGTTCAATGTCAGTTTGCTATACTATTATTTTGGGGTCTTTAGAAGTCAGAGCAGTTTCTCTGTATCTTTTCCAGGGATGGATTCAAACTGGTGGGTGCTGAAGTCTGATTTTCGATTACCAACTGAAGAGGAGATCCGAGCTATGGTATCGCCAGAACAGTGCTGTGCTTATTATAGCATGATAGCTGCAGAGCAGAGACTAAAGGTGAGCGAGCCTCTTCTTGTTAAGCACTGCTTATGTCTATTTTTCTTTTCAGAGACATAGAAGAGAATACTCGGGAGATGATAGTTACTAGATTATTACCAGTTATTCAACAATTTAAACTGCGTGAGGTACTTTCTGTGTATATGGATTCTAGGGGAAGTTACAGTGTAGCTAAATGTCAATGTGAGGCTCTGTGAGGGACTTAAGTCCTATTGCCTTGCTTTAAAAACGATAGATCATTCATTTGGGTGGTGACTCTTTTGTAAAACAAGCAGGAAAAGGACTTTTCAGATTCCCGGGTAGGCAAAGATGATAGCTGGAATGGGATGCAGGTAAAGCCGTGGAACACATGGTGATACATAGATTAATAGTTATGAGTTGAGTTAAACTATAAGAGCTAGCTAGCAAGAGGCCTGCCATAGGCCATACAGTTTGTAAGTAATAGTAAGCCTCTGAATGATTATTTTATAAGCAGCTGCAGGACCGCCAGCCAAGTGGAACCAGGTGGAACCGGGCAGGGCTGGAGAAACCTTCTAGCTACACTTTACCATTGAGCCATCTCTCCAGCCCCATTAGTTAGGGTTTCTATTGCTCTGAAGAGACACCATGACAGTAGCTACTCTTACAAAGGAAAACATTTCAAATTGGGGCTGGCTTACAGTTCAGAGGTTTAGTCCATTATCATCATGGCAGAAAGCATGGCAGCATGCAGGCAGACATGGTGCTGGAGAGGTAGCCAGAAGTTCTATGTATAGGCTGCAGGAAGAGAGAGTGACACTGGGCCTGGCTTGAGCATTTGAAACCTCAAAGCCCACCTCCAGTGACACACTTCCTCCAACAAGGCCACACCTCGCAATAGTGCACTCCCTGTGAGCCTTTATGGCCCATTTTCATTCAAAACACTACAAAGGCTAGAACAGAAAAAGTCCAACTGAGAAATTCTGTAGTTAGAATCTCTCTTTAGTTTAGTTTGCCTTTTATTTTTTTTAAATTTTTTTTAAAGATTTATTTATTTTATTATGTATACAGTGTTCTGTGTGTATGAACACCCGCAGACCAGAAGAGGGCACCAGATCTCATTACAGATGGTTGTGAGCCACCATGTGGTTGCTGGGAATTGAACTCAGGACCTCTGGAAGAACAAGCAGTGCTCTTAACCTCTGAGCCATCTCTCCAGTCCCTAGTTTGCCTTTTAAATGGGCCCTAGCTATTCACACGTGCACATACATTCCTTGAAAAGTTTTTGTGTGGAAGCTAGAGAAATGGCTGAACAATTATGAGCACTTCCAGAGGACCTGGGTTCGATCCCCAGCACCCACATGGCAGCTCACAACTGTTTGTAACTCCAGTTCCAGGAGATCTGACACTCTCACACAGATATACATGCAGGCAAAATACCAATTCACATAAAATAAAATCAATTATTTTAAAAATGATTCTAGAAAAAAAACTTTTTATGTGAACACAGGACCTTTGCACATGCTAGGCAAGCATTCTGCCACTGAACTACATCCCTAGAGCAGATTGGAGTTTGTCATATCTTCTAGTAGCTCAAGAATGCACAATAGTAATACATACATTGAAAACTACAGAATTCATTTTCTATGCTGATACGATTGGTATTTTGGTATTCAGTAAAACTGTTTTCAGGAAAAAGAAACCTTTTTTCCATTGACATTATTTATACATAGTGTTGTCCTCTTTCAGGATGCTGGCTATGGAGAGAAGTCCTTTTTTGCCCCTGAGGAAGAAAATGAAGAAGATTTCCAGATGAAGATTGATGATGAAGTAAGGTTTTACAAACTATTTTTTTTGAGACAGAATCTTGCTCTGTAACCCAGTCTGGCCTGGAAACTTTAAATCTTCCTCCCTGTCTCCCAACTCTTGAGAGTACAGACACATACCAACATGTCCAGCAACATTTGTATATTTTTATCTTTAATTATGTGTATGTGTGTCTCTGTGTGGATATGTGCACATAAGTAAGTGAGTGGAGGTGCCTGGAGGACCAGAGACATTGGATCTCTCTGTAGGTGGAGTTACAGGTGTGTATTTATAAGTTACCTGACATGGCTGTTGGGAACTGAACCCAGCAAGCCCTTTCTTTCTTTCTTTCTTTCTTTCTTTCTTTCTTTCTTTCTTTCTTTCTTTCTTTCTTTCTTTCTTTCTCTTTCTTTCTCTCTTTCTCTCTCTCTCTCTCTTTCTTCCTTCCTTCCTTCCTTCCTTCCTTCCTTCCTTTCTTTCTTTCTTTCTTTTTTTTTTTGAGACAGGGTCTTTCTATGTTGTCCTGGCTGTCCTGGAACTCACTATGTAGACCAGGCTGAACTGCCTGCCTCTGCCTCCTGAGTGCTGAGATTAAAGGCATGTGCCACTCCACTGGGCTCTGTAGTTTTTCTTAATTTAAAGATTTATTTATTCATGTATGTGTGTGTGCCTGTGCACAGAGTCCAGAAGAGGGGATTATATCCCTCAGAGCTGAAGTTATAGGCATTTGTGGCTGGGGCTTGTTATCTGAGTGCTTGGATCCAAATTCCAGTCCCTAAGATTGTATAGCAATGCTTTTAATCACTGAGCCATTTTTCTGGCCCACAACACTCATTTTTTTTTAAATCAGTGCTTCTCATTATCTCTTTTAAAATTAATTTATTTTTGTTTTATATGCATTGGTGTTTTGCCATGGGTGTCGGGTCCCCTGAAACTGGAATTACGGACAGTTGTGAGCTGCCATGTGGGTGCCGGGAATTGAACCTGGGTCCTCTGGAAGAACAGTCAGTGCTCTCAACCACCAAGCCATCTCTCCAGCCCTTATCATCTCTTTTATCTATCTGTCTGTCTGTCTGTCTGTTTATTTATTGTTTTTCAAGGCAGGGTTTCTCTGTGTAGTTTATTTATTTATTTATTTATTTATTTATTTTTGGTTTTTTTTTTTCGAGACAAGGTTTCTCTGTGTAGCTTTGCGCCTTTCCTGGAACTCACTTGGTAGTCCAGGCTGGCCTCGAACTCACAGAGATCTGCCTGTCTCTGCCTCTCGAGTGCTGGGATTAAAGGCATGCGCCACCCACTGCCCTGCTCATTATCTCTTTTAAAAAGAAGGTTTTTGGCTGGTGAGATGGCACACATCTGTAATCCTATCACTTTGGAAGATCAGTTGTTCAAGATCATTATGCTCTAATACATAGAGAGTTCCAGACCAACCTAGACTAGAGACCCTACTATAAAAAAAATGAGAAGAAGAAAGCCACTTGAAACATTGGACAATAAAATGCAGTTGCCCTTCTATGATCGTCATGAATGTGGGAACAACACTACCTACTGAAATCCTAGGGATAGGGATGATGCACTGAAGAACACCATTGATGAACCTATTTTTACCCTGACTGCACTCTCTCTAAACACCGTGATGTAAGTCTCATAGAAGAGAGCTGAGCATTGGATAGCTACTCTATTTAACTTGATATTTAGATAATTTAAGAAACCGTGGAAACATTCAGAGTAATTATTCTACCCTTTTAGGTAGTGGTTAGACGTGGAACAATGTTTCCCACAACCCTGACTCCTTTTCTTTATCTTAGGTTCGTACTGCTCCTTGGAATACTACAAGAGCTTTCATTGCTGCCATGAAGGGCAAATGTCTCCTGGAGGTGACTGGAGTAGCAGATCCCACAGGCTGTGGTGAAGGATTCTCCTATGTGAAGATTCCAAACAAACCTACACAGCAGAAGGTGAGAGTCTTTAGATTTCTAGAAATGAAAAGAGGAAGGAATGAGGTTTGAGCAGTAGAAATAGAATAGAAGACCTGGAAATGGTGCATTTGCCAGAACGGCGTAGATGCTTACTGTTCGGAGTTCAGCTTCAGATTCTCACTTGGTTTTGTTTGAGATAGGATGATAAGGAGCCTCAGCCAGTGAAGAAGACAGTCACGGGAACAGATGCAGACCTTCGTCGCCTGTCTCTGAAAAATGCCAAACAACTTCTTCGTAAATTTGGTGTGCCTGAGGAAGAGGTAGGTGTAGAAGAGGAAAACTCTGAGTAAGAGGCTTTGAATCAGATGGAAAGGTAGGAAGGTATAAAGAACTATCTGGGTTTTTAATGTGATGTAGATCATAATAGGTCCTAAATACTTTACCCAAACTTTCTAAACTTCTTTTAGAAGTTTGTTTTCTTGTCTATATTTCTAATAATGGCCCTTGTTTGTCCTTTTACATCCCTAAATGAGGTATATATGTAGTTCTGTGTTTCTCTTATAGATTAAAAAGTTGTCCCGATGGGAAGTTATTGATGTGGTACGCACAATGTCAACAGAACAGGCTCGTTCTGGAGAGGGGCCCATGAGTAAATTTGCTCGTGGATCAAGGTTTTCTGTGGCTGAGCATCAAGAGCGTTACAAAGAGGAATGTCAGCGTATTTTTGACCTACAGAACAAGTATGTTAATTCAGTACTGTGGAAAGTTTAAGCTGGAAAGGGGAAGTGTCCTAGACATGTTTTGTTTTGAACTAATGGCCTTGTACATGCAAGACACGTACTTTATCAATAAACTGTGCCTTCAGCTCCTACATACTATTTTTCTATTTTGGGATGAGTTATTATATAACCCTGTTGATCTGGAACTTGCTATGTAGGATAGGCTGGCCTTGAACTTTTGATGATCCTCCTGTACCTGTCTCCTAAATTTTGGGCCACAGGTATCCTCCACCATGCTCTACCAGATATTGTTGTATAATGAAGAGGATGTCACCTGAAAAAAAATGTAACTAGGTGGTTGGGTATCTGAAATACCAGGCACCATCTGTAATAATACTGCCAGAGTACCTATTCCTGTTTTTAAAGACAAGATTTCACTATGTAACTCTGGCTGACCTGGAACTTACTATGGAGACCCAGTCGGCCCTGAACCCATCACCTACCTTTTTGCCTCCTGAGTGCTGGGATTAAAGGCATGTATCACCATGCACAACTTTTCTAAAGCTTTCTCTTTTTTTGAGACAGGGTCTTACCATGTAGCCCATAGTGGTTGCAAGCCTTTGGCAGTCCTCTAGCTTTTGCCTCCTGAGTACTGGAATTAGAAGCATGTGCCACCGTGCCTGCTGAACCTACTGTTTTCAAAGTAACCTAGCAAAAGCTTTGAATGTCATGAAATGCTAAGCTTGATCTCTTTTGCTTTGGTGACAGTTTGTGTGGCCTACTTTGCCTGGGTCTGGCACTTTTAAGTGGTTGTGTTTTTTTCCTCTAATGGCTTAATTATGAAAGAATAGTAGTTTGCTATTAAAAAGGATCTGTGAATCTAATTGTACTGGTGAGCTGAGCAGCATTTGGGAGGCTAAGGCAAGAAGGATAAGGAATTCAAGGCATACCTGAGGCGGGGGTGGGGTGGAGGGATGGCGGGGTGGAGAGAGGATTTGTGAGAATCTCTTTCAAGAAAATTTAAAAAAAAAACGGCCTGTGTGCTGCTTTCTTAGCTTTTTTTCCCCAGTGATTCTGAAAGAATTACTACAGATTTGTGAAATGTCTAGGAATATGTAGTTTTTCTGTTGGGGGTTTCATGACTGTGGATTCTGAGTATATCTTTTTAAGGTTGATTTCTCAATTTTCTTTTTTTTTTTTGGCGGGGGCAGGGGGGTGGGGTTGAGACAGAGTTTCTCTGTGTAGCTTTGCGCCTTTGCTGAGACTCACTCTGTAGCCCAGGCTGGCCTCAAACTCACAGAGATCCACCTGCCTCTGCCTCACAAGTGCTGGGATTAAAGGTGTGCGCCACCACTGCTCTGCGATTTCTCATTTTCTATTTCTCCAATCCTACTTCTTGCTACACTTGTATTTCCCCTGGTCTTTAACTTTTCCTCTCTTGCTAGGGTTTTGTCATCAACTGAAGTCTTATCAACTGACACAGACAGCAGCTCAGCCGAAGACAGTGACTTTGAAGAAATGGGAAAGAACATTGAGAACATGCTGCAGAACAAGAAAACGAGCTCTCAGCTATCTCGGGAACGGGAGGAGCAGGAGCGGAAGGAACTCCAGCGGATGCTACTGGGTGAGGGGGCTTCTCACACAAGCAAAGAAAGGGATCAGAAACGGAGCTTGGATAAGTGCAGACTGTAACTGAGTCCAAGCCAGAGACAAAATAAGGCATAAGTATAGAGAAACCTGTAGATGAGGGAGAGTTCTACAGACTGGACTCCAGCTGTGGGGAAAAAATTGAAGAGATGCTGCCAGCCTACTGCATCCTCTTTCTGTGTCAGGAACCCGGCCAAGCCAGGGCTACCAGTGGTGTGCTTAAAATCAAATCAGCTTTCTGGGAATTCATCCCCCAGAGAGACAGTTTTAAAAAGTACAAGAAGTGTCTGGCTAGATGTGGTGGCACATACCTGGAATCCCAGCACTTGGGAAGCTGAGGCAGGAGGCTCTTGATTTGAAGGCCTACCTGGGGTACCTAATGAGACCCTGTCTTCAAAAACATAAATAAAATAGAGAATCTCTAGATGAATTTGCCAGGTTGTCTTTGAATTTATATTTCAAATTTTATGCAGATAGGCAATTTTCTGAGAAGATTCATAGTTTTCAGAAGATTCTTAAAGGAAGCTTAGATCCAAAAAAGAGCTAAAACTCATCCAATAATTGCAGAAGCTAATGATGAGGATGATAGATAACAAGGTCCCCGTGATTCTTCTGATTATAATAGCTCTCAAGCAGGCAGTGAATGTAGATACTGAGAGGATGAAGTCTGAGGATGAAGATTAGAGTGAGCACTTTCATTCATACTGTCTTACCTTTGTTTGCCCATCTCTGTAAAGTTTGTATAAGTTTGTTTTTCTGGCTGCTTAGTAGATATATGGCTCTTACACCATGTGGTCCTCCAGTTCTTTACTAATGTAGTTCTGGACCACAGTATCTACATTGATGGAAATTTGTTAGAAAGGTAGGATCACCTTGAATCGTCTCTCCGTACTTACTGAGTTTAGTCTACATTTTTACAAGATCCCCAGGTGTTTTCTTTTCTTTTTTTTTTTTTTAAAGATTTATTTATTTATTATGTATACAGTATTCTGCCTGCATGTGTCCCTGCAGGCCAGAAGAGGGCGCCAGATCTTATTACAAGTGGTTGTGAGCCACCATGTGGATGCTGGGAAATGAACTCAGGACCTCTGGAAGAGTAGTCGGTGCTCTTAACCACTGAGCCATCTCTCCAGCCCCTCCCCAGGTGTTTTCTATTCATATTAAAGTTTGAGAAGCATGCACTAGGTCTTTTCTTTTTTTCTTTTCTTTTTTTATGGTTTTTTGAGACAGGGTTTCTCTGTGTAGCTTTGCGCCTTTCCTGGAACTCGCTTTGGAGACCAGGCTGGCCTCGAACTCACAGAGATCCGCCTGGCTCTGCCTCCCGAGTGCTCCGCCCGGCATGCTAGATCTTAAGACTGGGCTTATTTCTTCCTCCTGAGTCCTTGCTTGGATGTTTTCAACTATTTGCTGCTAAGAGTTTTTTGTCACTCTGCTATTCAGAGGAATAACAGTATAATTACTGCTTTTCTGTCTCCAGTAGCAAACAATACTTTGAGGTATTTCTAGAATGTTTATATTTATAAAAATGGAAATTGGCAATGGTTAAAAAGAAGTCAGGAAAGGGCAAACCAGGGTGTTCTTGTGGCTAGTAACAACTCTGTTTTTAGTAGAACTAGGGTTTTGTGGTATGATGAATGTCTCCGTTCAACCCCAAGAGAGTGGCCATTTGGGTTTTAGGAGGGAATGTTTGAAAATTGTTTTCTATCTTGCAGCAGCAGGCTCAGCAGCAGCAGGAAATAATCACAGAGATGATGACACAGCTTCGGTGACTAGCCTTAACTCTTCTGCCACTGGCCGCTGTCTCAAAATTTACCGAACATTTCGAGATGAAGAGGGGAAGGAGTATGTTCGTTGTGAGACAGTCCGAAAACCAGCTGTTATTGACGCTTATGTGCGCATACGTACCACGAAAGATGAGGAATTCATGTGAGTTTGATGTGCTACTCTTGAGTGTGGCGGGGGAAATGATGATGGAGACAAAGTATATGCATGAGTTGTAGTGATTAGAATATATATTGTTATCCCTGGAAATCTGCTATCATTTAGAATTGTCTTGCCTTTAGAGCTTTGGATTTGAACAGAGCCAAATCACTGGGAAAATAACTGTTTGCTATGTTTAGATTATGGTGGTTTGGCTTTGCAAAAATCACTGCTGTAATACCAGCACTTGGGAGGATTCAGCAGGAGGAACATAGGTCTAGACCAGTCTGGGCTGTAAAACATTGTCTCAAAAATCAAAAGCAAAATCTTAGATTATTCAGGACTTGGATTGAGAGATGTTTCTCTGCATGTGGAAGACTGACTGTCAAGGAAGGGGGAGGTGGCAGGCAGTTTTTTCACTTCAGCCTGGATGAATTACTTACGTTCTGAGATGGTAGCTTTCCGGGTAGTCATCTTGATTTAGGTTGCTTATGATCCTGTCATATTTTTTTCTCCTGTTCTTCAGTCGAAAATTTGCCCTTTTTGATGAGCAGCATCGAGAAGAGATGCGAAAAGAACGGCGGAGGATTCAAGAGCAATTGAGAAGACTTAAACGAAACCAGGAAAAAGAGAAGCTGAAGGGTCCTCCTGAGAAAAAGCCCAAAAAAATGAAGGAACGCCCTGACCTAAAAGTAAGTCTAGAACAGTAGGCAGGTGTTGGGGGACACAGTGCAGTCCTAGCACTTGATGGGCTAAGACAGGATTGTGAGCTTGAAACACAGAGAGACCCTGTCTTGGAAAGAAAAAGAAAAAAAATTGTTTAATGATGTTATCACTGCTAACAAAGCAAAGGAAGATAGCATGCCTTTTCCCTCAGCTTTTGTCTTCTTTGGTTACTGGAAATGAAAGCAATATCATGGAACGCTGGGTTATATTATTTATATTATACCTGTAACAACACCTGCAGTCCCCGTACTAGGGAAGCTGAAACAGGAGGACCAGGAACAAATCTACATAGTGAATTCAGGCTCCCCTGGGCTACATGAGGCCCTCAGAAAGAACACACACACACACACACACACACACACACACACACACACACACACACACACACACATACATTTTTCTCTAGGAATTGAGTAGGTTTGGTACATTTATTTATATTTGTATACCTTTGTTACTGAGCATCAGATCCAGGACCTGATATGTATTAGGCAAGCACTCCACTGATGGAGCTACTTCCCTAACCTCATAATCCTTTTTAAAAATGGTAACTTATTAAAAGAAGGGGCTAGAGAGATCGCTCAGTAGTAAGAGTGCTTACTGTATCAAAGGACTGGGGTTTAGATCTTAGCACTTATATTGGATGGTTCAAAAATACCTGTAACTCCAGCTTCAAGGGATCTAACATCTCCCTTCTGGCCTCAGTAGGTACCTGTGCATGCACACACTTGCACAAATACCTATACACACCAATACAGATACACAAAAAAGTCTTAAGAAATCAGAAAAAGACAAGAATACATAGCATCCAGGTTGTTTTGCTTCACTTAGGTTAAAGACTGCATGTACAACATAAGATAAGGTAACTGCTTCAGTGGAAAGAATTGTGAACTTGGATACAGCATATCTGGTTCTGGTTTTTGCCACTTAGCTCTGTGACCTTAACCTTTCCAAACCAGTTTTCTATGTAATGGTGTCTGTCTTTGTTTCTCCCCTGCTCCATATTCATTTCTATTTTTGACATGCTGTTCAGCCTGTTTACCTCTAACATGTTGTGGGGTTTTTTGTTTTGTTTTGTTTTCTGTTTCAGCTGAAATGTGGAGCCTGTGGTGCCATCGGGCACATGAGGACAAACAAATTCTGTCCCCTTTATTATCAAACAAACGCTCCACCTTCTAATCCTGTTGCCATGACAGAGGAACAGGAGGAGGAGCTGGAAAAGACAGTCATTCATAATGATAATGAAGAACTTATCAAGGTTGAAGGGACCAAGATCGTTTTGGGAAAACAGCTAATTGAGAGGTAAGGGAGAGCAGGCAGAGAGTGCTATAGCAGAGAGCTAGTGAAGGTTTATTATGATGGTTGGCAGGGGTAAATGTGATGTGATTGTTCTCTGAAGTGGAACTAGGGTTACAGGAACTTTGGATTATAATTAGTTATATTTGCCAGTACTCCTTGCTTTTGTACATGCTATTGATGATCATTGCCAAGTTATTTTATTGGCACTTGTAAAGTGGTGATTTTTTTTCTAATTCTAGAATTCCTCTATTCTAGCTGGTATTTTTTTTGGTAAGGAAAACTTCATCCTTTCCATTTTAATATATTACTGTGGATTCCAAAATTCTTCCTTTATAAATTTAATGCATTATATCCCAATTTGACTCGTTTAAGCCAGATCCTGTGGTGATTTTAAATATTTATTTTCATTTCATGAATATTTTGCCTGCATGTATGTATGTGCACCACACAAATGCCTGATGTCCACGGAGACCAGAAGAGAGAGTTGGATCCCCTGTAATTAGAATTATAGTGTTATGAGAGCTGCCATATAGGTGCTAGGAACTAAACTCAGGTTCTTTCAAAGCTGTTAAGGTTGAAACAGGATATCCATCTTCATGTTAATTGAAAAAGAAAACTATATCTTTCCTACCATATCTGGGTATTGCTACTTTAAGAAAATGATCCAAGAGTTCTGGAGACACGGGTCAATGGTAGAGTACTTGCCTAGCAACCTCAAGGACCTAGGTTCAATCCTCAGTCCTAGAAAGAAAGATGATCAAAATAGTGGGAAAAACTGACACTGTATGCTTGATAATGTGGTGATAAATAATATCAACTAGGTAGTCTATTAAATGTCTAGCCAAAAATATTTAATATGAGTTCAATCAGTAGAAAACAAAGCAGGTATTTCTCCATTGGAGTCTCTCATACTCTTGAGCATTTTCATTTTTAAAATAAATCTCTGTTCTTCTCAAAACAAAATCCAGAAAGTGGGGTATTTTGTGAGACAATTGATTTGTATGCTGCAAAAAAAATCAATGTCATAAAAAGTACAAAAATAGGCCAGGTGGTAGTAGAGCACGCCTTTAATCTCAGTATTTGGGAGGCAGAGGCAGGTGGATCTCCGTGAGTTTGACGACAGCCTGGTCTACAAAGCGAGTTCCAGGACAGCTAGGACTGTTACACAGAGAAATCCTGTCTTGAAAAATCACTCCATTTCTTTTTGTATTCAATTTACATTCTTCTATCCTTATTGATTTATCAACATATGTAAGTCATCTTTTTTGTTTTTTTTTTAAAGGTTTATTTATTATGTATACAGTATTCTGCTTGCATGTGTCCCTACAGGCCAGAAGAGGGCACTAGATCTCATTACAAGTGGTTTGTGAGCCACCATGTGGTTGCTGGGAATTGAACTCAGGACCTCAGGTAGAGGAGTCAGTGCTCTTAACCACTGAGCCATCTCTCCAGCCCTGTTTTGGTGTTTTTGTTTTGTTTTGTTTTGTTTTGTTTTGTTTTGTTTTGTTTTGTTTTGTTTTGTTTTGAGACAGAGTTTCTCTGTGTAGCTCTGGCTGTCCTGGAACTCACTCTGTAGACCAGGCTGGCCTTGAACTCACAGAAATCTCCCTGCCTCTGCCTCTGCCTCCTGGGTGCTGGGATTAAAAGCATGCGCTACCACGCCCAGCATCATATCTTAAAAGTACCTTAGAAAGGGAAAATGTGACATCTTGAGCCCTTACAGTGGAGGGGAGAAGGTAGACTAGTTTTAAAAATTGCAGGAACCCTTCCCCTTTTCCCCTGTACTGGTTTTTAAATTTTTTTTTGTTTTTAGTCTTTCTGTTTCCTTCTTTGCCTCCCTTTCTCCTCCTCTCCCTTTCTTTCATTCCTTTTTTTTTTCCTTCCTTGGATTACAGGCATGTGTAATCACACCTGCTGCTTCATTTATATTTTGTTTTTGTTGATGTTGTTTTGTTTTGAACAAGATCTCACTGTGTAGTCCTGACTGGCCTGGAGCTTCTTTGTAGATCAGGCTGGCCTCGAACTCATAGGGATCTCCCTACCTCTGCTTCCCCGGTGTGCTGTCATGTCCAGACTCATTTATATTCTGAATGAGTCAAGTGTTCTACCTTTTGAACCCCAGGATAGAATGTTAGAACTGGGAGGAGTCTTAAAATGCCTTTAGCCAGTCCCCTCACTTTCTAAATAGGAACTGAGAAAAAATTTGATTTGCTTAGTTCTTTACTAATTTGGAGGTCCTCAGGTTAGAAGATGACTGAGGCTTAGAAGATGACTGTTTGACCTTTGGCTTCTTTGACTTTTCCCACTTAGGTACTTTGGACCTTTTCATTGTAGTTATTTTATTCTGGGAACTATAAAGGTCTATTTGGAGTTATAGGATTTATTTTGTGTGTATGAGTGTTTTGCCTGCATGTATGTAAGTGCACCACTGTGTATGCCTGGTACCCACAGAGGTCAGAAGTGGGTATCTGATCCTGTGAAACTGGATTTACTGTCTGGGTGTGAGCTACCACATAGGTGCTAGGAGCTGAACCAGGGTCCTCTCTGTAAGAGTAGCAAGTATTCTTAACCACTAAGCCATCCCTTCACTCCTATTTCTTGGAACTATAAATAACACACTGGCAATGTTACTGATTGCAGTGCGGATGAAGTTCGCAGAAAATCTCTGGTCCTGAAGTTTCCTAAACAACAACTTCCTCCCAAGAAAAAACGGCGGGTTGGAACCACTGTTCACTGTGACTATTTGAATGTGAGTATCCACATTGTCTTCATATCAAATGGGTTCTGATTGATTCCTCCAGCCTTCTGTGACATGACTCTGTCGGTGTTAGATGTTCTTATGTCTCTTCCTTGAGAATTATGTGTACTATTCATTAGATGATTTATTACAATTCATTTATTATTTGGGGTTTTTTTTGGGGGGGGTCGTGAGACAGGGTTTCTCTGTGTAGTTTTGGACCCTGTCCTGGAACTTGCTCTGTAGACCAGGCTGGCCTCGAACACAGAGATCCACCTGCCTCTGCCTCCCAGGTGCTGGGATTGAAGGCATATACTACCGCTGCCTGGCTATTTTTGTTTTTTTGAGACAGGGTTTCTCTGTAGCTCTGGGGCTTTCTTAGAACTCACTCTATAGATCAGGCTGGTCTTGAACTCAAAGATCTGCCTGCCTCTGCCTCTCAAGTGCTGAGATAAAGGTGTGTGCCTTTATCCGGCTTTAAAATGTATTTATTTTGTGTGTGCCTTCATCTGTGCATGTGTCATGATGCACACATGGAAGTCAGAGGACTTAGTTCTCTCCTACGTTTACATGGAGTGTGGAGGTCAAATTATGGTCACTCTCTTTTTTTTTTTCCTTTTAGAAAAATTAACATTTATTGATTTATTTATTGTGGGCGGGGGATGCATGTGTGCCATAGCTCTCCTACGCAGTCAGAGGACAGCTTTCAACAGTGGGTTCTCTCCCTCCCCATGAGAGTCCCAGACTCAACTTAGGTTTTCAGGCTTGGTGGTGAGCATCTACCCATCTCACCAGCTTGGCCTTTTAATGGAAAGGGAACACTCTAGTTTAAGAGCCAGGCTTCGGAACAACTGAAAAGATCGCATGTTTTTGGGTAACAGAAACAGGACAATGTTTGGGACGTTTTTCTTTTCTTAGTGTGTCTTCATTTTGTGATTAATGAATGAGAAGGTCATCTGCTGGCAGAGAATTCTCATTTATATTGTTAATACTGCATTGCTATCTCTACCATCATTATCTCAGAGTACTCACTCCCCTTCTTTTTCCCCTTTTTGGTCTTGGCCCTAACCCTTCTTAATATTTGCTCAATAAATATTCAACCCAAGGGGTGTGTGTGTGTGTGTGTGTGTGTGTGTGTGTGTGTGTGTGTGTGTGTGTTTGCACTCTCCTTCCTCGAATCCTGAGCTGTATGTACTCTTACTCATCCTTCCGTAGACAAGCTGGCTGAAGCCGCTTTGAATAGCTGCTGAGGGGCTGAATCTTAAAGGGAGGTCCGAGTGGCTGCGAAGCTCACATGCTAAACAACCTTGTGCATAATTATGAATTTACTAATTGCTTAATTAGGAACTCAAACCAAGGAACCAAAGGCATGCTGGGCCTGGTGTTGAGAGGCCCTCAGGTATCAAAATGGAGTGAAGCTGGGGGAAATGGGAGCAATCCTTCCAGCCTGGTATTTGGGGAAGGCAACCCAGACGGCCTGCAGGCAGGGAGGTCATTTGCACAGTACCCAGTGTGGTCAGCTCTGGGACTCTCCTGGCAGTAGGGCTCTTCGCTGCTGTGCGGTTTTGTTGTTTTTGTTTTTTCTTTCCAGTTCTCATAGAAAGATTTCCCGTTGTTTTAGAGCTGAATTCAGTGGGAAAATAATGTTTATTCACTTCACGGCCAATTTGGACTGAACACATTTCTGTTCCCTCCTGTGGTCTGTTTCTGCTGGTGTAAACAAACAGATCTGTCCGTGGGTTTGGGTTCACAAATACCATGGTGCCAACACTGCCTGCCTCGGTTCCAGAGCATTCTGCTCAGGTGTGTAGCCTGTGGATGTGCAGTCTGGAAGGATGGAGTCCCTCTATGGAACCTCTGTCGTCCTCTCTTCTCTCTCGTCATGCCATTCTGTCTCTATGGTCACTCTCTTATATGGCAAGTGCCATTACCCACTGAGCCATCTCACTGCCCCCCCCCTTCTTTTTGATGTGCAAGCATTTTTTGCCTGTATGTATATAAGTGCACTATGTGCATGCCTGGTGCCAGCAGAGCCCAAAAGAGAGTGCACTATGGTTTTAGTTGTAAGTCACTATGTGGGTGCTGGGATCTGAACCCTGGTGCTCTGCAAAAGCAGCAAGGGTTCTTAACCATTGAGCCATCTCTTCAGCTTGTCCCCCCTCTAAACTTTGCTTTTAAGATTGAGTTTCCCTCTAGCCCAGGATGGCCTGGAATTCACTGAGCGTTCTATGAACTTGAACTTGCAGCAATCCTCCCAATTGCTGGGATTATAGGCTTAAGCCCTCAAAGTCTGGCTTTATTGACGATTTCTAAAATGTATCAGTATATTTGAAAATTTTCCAGGGTGTTTTTTTGTTTTGTTTTGTTTTTTTAAGCTAAAGAATTCTGATTTCTTGTTTTTGTTTTGTTTTAGAGACCTCATAAATCCATCCATCGGCGCCGGACAGACCCTATGGTGACGCTGTCATCTATTTTGGAGTCTATCATCAATGACATGAGAGATCTTCCAAATGTGAGTTCATTACATTAGATGTATAGAATAGGAAAACCAAGACCCTTTGTTTTCTGTTACTTCCACTAGATGGCAGTAGTGTGTATACCTGTGTATCTGGAACTCCTAATTCCTTGGGGTTTTGTCTATTTTTAAATTGTTTAATAGAATATTAGGTGATGAAGGACAGAATATAGGCAAAAGGACACATGAGTTATAAGAGGATATAAAGCTAATTTTTTCTAGTTTCAATTCAATTTTCTCTTTTTGTGGGGGGATATGTGAATTCAACTTTCTGAGTATTGGAAGTAGAAAGAATCATTTTTAAAAATTATATGTATATATGTGTGTCTGTGTATGCATATGCAAATTCCCTTGGAGGCCAGAGACACTGAATCACCCGGAATCAAAGTTACAGGAGGTTGTGAGTCCCCAGACATGGGAGCTGGGAACCAAACTTAAGTCCTCTGGAAGAGCATAATGTGCGATTATAACCACTGAGCCATCTCTCCAGCCTCAAATTTGTATGTCTTATAAGAACCATTTTTGCATTCCATAAATGTCTAGCATATATGGAGCTAGAAAGACAACTCAGTGGTTAGGAATACATACTGCTCTTGCAGAGGACTATGTTTGGTTCCCAGCAGTCATGTTGGGTAGCTCACAGACAACTCTAACCGTAGCTCCAAAGAATTCAATGCCTTGCCAACCGTGGTGACACATGCCTTTAATCCCAACACTCAGGAGGCAGAGGCAGAGGATCTCTGATTTTGAGGCCAGCCTGGTCTACAGAGTTAGTTCCAGGACAGCCAAGGCTGTATACAAAGATACCCTGTCTTGAGAAATCAAAAAGAAAGAAAATAGCTTAGGGGGCTGGAGAGATGACTCAGCAGTTAAGAGCACTAACTGCTCTTCCAGAGGTCCTGAGTTCAATTCCCCGCAACTACATGATGACTCACAACCATCTATGGTGGGATCTGATGCCCTCTTCTGGTGTGCAGGTATACATGCAGAGCACTCATACATAAAATATAAATAAATAAAAATTAAAAAAGAAAATAGCTTAATGCAAAAAACAGATTCTGAAAAATCCCTTTGAGAGTTGGTAAACTGGGAAAATGTAATTGTCTCTGTGTAGCTGGAGTTTTTTCCAGTCCTGCCTAGCCCACGGTCAGGACAAATGTCTCTCACCCGCCAGTCCCGCAGCAGCTCAGACCCAACCGCGTAAACACACAGAGACTTATATTGTTTAACAAACTGTATGGCCGCGGCAGGCTTCTTGTTATCTAGTTCTTTTATCTTAAATTAACCCATTTCTGTTAATCTATATGTCGCTATGTGTTGTGGATGATTGGTTGATACATAAAACTGATTGGCCAGTAGCCAGGCAGGAAGGATAGGGTAGGCGGGACAAGGAGGAGAAGAATTCTGGGAAGTGGAAGGCTGAGGCAGGGAAACGCTGCCAGCCGCCGCCATGACAAGCGAGATGTAAGGTACCGGTAAGCCACGAGCCACGTGGCAACTTACCGACTAATAGAAATGGGTTAATTTAAGATATAAGAACAGCTAACAAGAAGCCTGAGCCATTAGGCCAAACAGTTTAAATAATATAAGCATCTGTGTGTTTATTTTGTAAGCGGTCTGTCGGACTGCCGGGGCTTGGCGGGGCTTGGTGGGGCTTGGCGGGGCTTGGCGACCCGGAGAGAAAACTCTAGCTAAATCTCTGTCAAGTGTTCTTTGCTCATAGATGGTGCTGGCTCTTATTTCCACAGACCTACCCTTTCCATACTCCAGTTAATGCAAAGGTTGTAAAGGACTACTATAAAATCATCACTCGGCCGATGGATCTACAGACACTCCGTGAAAATGTGCGCAAACGCCTCTATCCATCTCGTGAGGAATTCAGAGAGCATTTGGAACTAATTGTGAAAAATAGTGCAACCTATAATGGTAACAGTCCCTTGTTTTTTGTTCCTTGACTGCAACGGTCACTTTTCAGATTTCTATCCCCTTGCTTAATTCTAAATTCAATAGATTAGAATGAATGAAAAGACTATAATGTGCATTCTTGGGTATGAACATCAGGTAGTGCACATTTAAGTCATATTATAAGTATTGCTTCTTTTTAGTTCCTCTATTTAATCCTTTTTTTAAGACATGGTCTCATTATGTATCCCTGACTGGCCTGAAACTAACTATGTAGACCAGACTGGCCTCAAAATCACAGAAATCCTTTGGCCTCTGCCTCCCAAATGAGTGCTGGGATTAAAGCCATGTTTTACCATACCCAGCCTCGTACTATTTAATTTTTAATGTGTTCTCTGGTGAATTTTAAGTCTTATGTGTTGAAACAGTTGGGGTAAGTAGTGAGATAAAAAAGTAAACCTAGGTAGGTTGGCGAGTCATTGGGTATGAGTGAACTCTACAAAGGATAGTCTTGCAGCCATATTTGCTTTATGTGTTTTAAATCGGTTTGCATTTTTGTTACAGGGGCTAGATACCCTTTTTCTTATTAAAAAAAAAAAAAAACAGGAAAGGCAAGGAGGAAGAAATCAGTTTGCATTAATTCATTTTTTTCTAGTTTCAGTTCAATTTTCTTTTTGTGATGGGTATGTGAATTCAACTTTCTGAGTATTGGAAGTAACAAGAATCATTTTTTAAAATTATATGTACATATATGTGTGTGTCTGTGTATGCGTATGCAAATTCCCTTGGAGCCCAGAGACATTTGATCACCTGGAACCAAAGTTATAGGAGGTTGTGAGTCCCCAGACATGGGAGCTGGGAACTGAACTTAGGTCCTCTGGAAGAGTATAATGTGCGATTATAACCACTGAGCCATCTCTCCAGCCTCAAACTTGTATTGGCATCCAGAGTAGATAAAACCAATAGAGCTATGATGGATATGTTATTTAACATCTCATAATCTCTTCTGTTTCTCATATATAAACAGGACAATAACAATTTCTACATTCTGAAGCCTTCCACAGACCAGTCCAATTTACCAAATTTCATCTCCAATGACTGGCTTCCATGTTCACTGAGCCATCTCTCCAGTCCTAACTTACCCACTTTTAAACTAATATAAACAGTGCATCTGTGAACATGTATGTTCAAACTTTTGTGTAGACATTTGCTTTCATTTCTCTTGGTATATGCATAGGACAAGAATTCTGAGTTTATAGGGTAGCTTTGACTAGCATTCTGAAAACCTGATACTTTCTCAGTTTCTAGAATAGCTATTTCATTTTGCAGTTCTGCCAGAAATGTAGCATATATTTTATACACATTCCATTTTCTCCTCATCCTCACCAACACTTGTTAGTCTTTTTTATTCTGGTCATCCTAGTGCATGTCAAGTGGCACATCGTGTGTGTTTATGTCTCCTTAATGGCACTGAGAATCTTTGCATGTACTTAGGATGTTGCCCACCTTTTCTTCTTAATACTCTCCTTTCCTTTTCGGGAGTATTTTGTGTAGCACTTTCTACTTTTACTTTAACAAAAGATTTACTGGGTGGTGGTAGTGCAATGCCTTTAATCCCAGCACTCTGGAGGTTGGGGCAGGTGGATCTCTGTGAGGTCAACTTGGTCTATAAAAACAAGTTCCAGGACAGGGCTGTTAAACAGAGAAACCCTGTCTTTTTTTTTTTTTTTTTTTAAAAAAAAAGGTTTATTGTTGTTTTCTTTTTTTCTGAGACAGTGTTTCTTTGTGTAGCCCTGGCTATTCTGAAACTCACTGGAAAGACCAGACTGGCCTAGAACTCAGAGATCTACCTGCTTCTGCCTCCTGGGTGCTAGGACTTAGGGTGTGTGCCACCACTGCATGGCATTACTTTATTGTTTTTAATTATGTGTATGTGTTTGGGTATATGCATGAGATTGCAAGTATCTACCGAGACCAGAGGCTTACGACCACCCTAGAACTGAGGTTATACGCAGTAGTGAGTTGATGTGGGTGCTAGGAACTGAACTGCAAGAGCAGTACACACTTTTAATCACTGAGCTATCTCTTTAGCTCCTTACTCTTTTTCATTACTACTTCGGCTACTAAATGTCTACTGATGCCCCTTTCTTCTGTCTCTACGTCTTTTCAAGGCTTCAAACCCTTGCTTCCAGTTGTCTGCTAGACATGACCAGTTCTCATGTCCTACTGGCAGTTCATTATCTGATTGCCTGTGTAGATGAATGGTTTTGCTGGCTGCCTAGTTGTACAACATAGAAATTTTAGTCATAATTGATCCCATGTTCTCTTCCTCACACTTAAAACTAAGTCCTACAAAGTATACTGTCTACATTTTTTGGAACTTGTCCCTTTCCTTTTTGTTACCATTGCTACTTTAATTGAAGCCCTTGTTAGCTCTTGTTTAACCTCCTGCAACAGCTTCCAAACATTTTTGCCTTAATTCTTCCTATCGTTGACCGGGTGGCAGTTCTCCACTAGCACTCAAATGTAGGAAATGACTGCCTTAGACTGATGATAGTTATAGCTCAGAGGTGGAGCACTTGGCTAACATGTTTGATGTCCAAGCTCCATAAAAAAGGGGAACAAAGAAAAGAAGCATCATTAACCAGTTTAAAGTTGCTTTCTAGTGCCTTTAAGATCTTTCTAATGTGGTTCTTTCTGACTTTCTAAGTTCATTACCTGTTTTTCCTATATACATGCAAATACATACAGACATACATGCATCCTACACACACACACACACACACACACACACACACACACACACACACACACACACCTTTGTTATAATGGTATCAAAACTACTTGTGACCCTGATGAAATGTACTATAGCATGTTTCTATGAATTTGACTAATTAGTGCTGTGTCTTTGTGTACTTTTCCTTTTCTTTGGAATGTCCTTTCCTATTATTTGCCTGTTGGACTTGTGTTCTTTAATGACTACCTAAATGTGAGTCAGAATAAGCCTTCCCTACTCCCCCAATGCAGATTTTCTTCCTTTCTTTTTATTCTACTAAAGATTGAATCCAGAGCCTCCAGCAAGTACTCTACCTTTTAGCTATATCCCAGATCCCTTTTTACTTTTTATTTTGGAATGAAGTCTTGCGAAGTTGCACAGGCTAGCCCTGAACTTTTCTTGTAGCGTAGCCTGCTTTTAAACTTGCAACCTATGCCTCAGCCCCCTGAGCAGCTAAAATTACCAACCTGCTTCACCATTCTTGATTTCAAATTAGCAGATTTGATGTCCAGTGATGTAGAATATAATTTATGTGCAACCAATGTATTTCATCTATACTGATAGTTTTTTCCACTTTGTTATGTAAATTTTTTTCTTGGTTTTTTGAGACAGGGTTTTTCTGTGTAGCTTTGGAGGCTGTCCTGGAACTCACTCTGTAGCCCAGGCTGGCCTCAAACTCACAGAGATCCACCTGACTCTGCCTCCCGAGTACTGGGATTAAAGGGGTGTGCCACCACCACCCAGCTTATTATGGAAATTTAAGAGGAATAAATTTTAGTGTACTTGTCACTGAATTTAACAATTTGTCAGTTTGTGGCAAGTCTTGTTTATCATGTATTTTCTGACCGTGTATCATTTTATCCATAGATATTTGATAGGATTATACTGTTCTGCAATGATTTGTTTTCAAGTTATTTTCTTTGACTAGTCCAAGAATGCTCTGTAATAGGAACTCGTAATTATCCTTATATTCCCATCATTGACCATTTTCTAGACAAGACATAAAATGTTTGAATGAATAATCAAATGCTGAAATAAATAGTAGGGCTGAGGTTAAGGCTCTAGGGGGACACTAACAGCAGTTCGATGGAGGAAGGTAATCTAGTAAATGATACTCAAAAGAAGTGGTTAGAAATACAAGTTAGGCTTAGTGGTGGTGCACGCACCTTTAATCCCAGCACTTGGAAGGCAGAGGCAGGAGGATCGCTGAGTTCGAGGCCAGCCTGGTTGACAGAGTGAGTTTCAGGATGGCCAGAGCTACACAGAGAAACCCTGTCTTAAAAAGACAAAAAAGAAATGCTAGTTATATGGAAATATTTTGGGTTTTTTTTTGGGGGGGGGTTCTTTTTGGGTTTGAGATGGTCTTATTATGTAGTCTAGGCTACCCCAGATCTGTTAGTCCTCTGATTGAAGCATCTCAAGTGCTGTGGTTACAGGTGTGTGTCCATGAATCCTAGCTTTAAAATGTTTTAATTATTCCGAAGATGAGCTTAAATGGAACAGCTTTAAGCAGAGAATGTACAAGAGAGGTCAGATAGTTCAAGAATTTTCTGAAGTTCTTTTTAAGGATTTCTGGAAATCTGAAATAAAACTGTGTGCTGGAGAATCTGTCTACTAAGCAGAAAAATTTTAAATGTTTCAATGAACATTATCATTCTTAAACACATTCTCTGTCTACAGAATGATTTTTAAGGTATTAAAAGCCCCAATAAGCCGGGCGGTGGTGGCGCACGCCTTTAATCCTAGCACTCGGGAGGCAGAGCCAGGCGGATCTCTGTGAGTTCGAGGCCAGCCTGGGCTACCAAGTGAGTTCCAGGAAAGGCGCAAAGCTACACAGAGAAACCCTGTCTCGAAAAAACCAAAAAAAAAAAAAAAAAAAAAAAAAAAAGCCCCAATAAAGGTTGCTCATGCCTTTACTCCCAGCACTAGGGAGACAGAGGCAAATGGATCTCTGAGTTCGGCGCTACCCTTGTCTACGTAGAGAATTCCGAGCCAGCCAGAGCTACATAATGAGACCCTGTCTCAAAAAACAAAACAAAAAGCAGTTGTAATACAAGTGTGTGTGGACACAAATGCAAAACAATTAAAATTCATTCATAGTTTACCCATTATATGTTAGACACTGAAAAATGGAGTAAAGACTGGTGTGCCTGGTGTAGTAACACATACCTGTAATCCCAAGGAGGTGAAGACAGGAGGATCTGAAGTTGAAAGTCATTCTCAGCTACAATAGTGAGTTCTAGACCAGTCTGGGATACAAGAGACTCTGTCTTAAAACAATAAAAAGGAAAAATACTGGTGTATCTACCTAACTCAGTTACTAGGCTGGTGCCTGGGACCTTTTAGGTTCTTTAGTAGATTTGTTAAGTGTGGGAAGCCTAGCAACTTTGGGCTCCCATTTATAATGGCCATTTCTTATTCCTTTGTAGGGCCAAAACACTCACTGACTCAGATTTCTCAATCCATGCTGGATCTCTGTGATGAAAAACTCAAAGAGGTAAGAATTAATGATAAAAAAAAGAATTAATGATAAGAGAAAGTAGTAGACATAGTGACATACACCTATAATCCTAGCACTTGAGAGTTGAAGACAGGAGGATCAGGAGCTTAAAGAAAGTCATCCTCAGATACATACTGAGTTCTAGAGCAGCTTGAGCAACATGAGAATCTGACTCAAAAATAAAAATAGATTAAAACAAACCAAGAGAAATGCTGTGGTATATGAAGGTGGAAAATAGTGGACTTTAGGAACTAGAGTATTTAACAGAAGGACCAGTAGCTGAGGGAATGGCAAATCTTTGGTACATTTGATGGATAGGAACTTAGAAATTATATAGACACTATCTTCTGTAGACAGGAAAGCCAAGTCCAAAGAAGAAAATTACTTGCTCTGGAGTCATGCTAGGATTAAGATCTCAAACCTATATGACTTTAGAAAGGATGGCAGAAAATGACTTTCCAGGAGAGCTCCTGTGGGCCACATTACAATTCATTGCTGTACCAGGAGGCATGTTGACAAACCATTTTTTGAGATAGTGCCTTATCTAACTCAGGCTGCCTTGGAGCTCACTGTGTCGAATAGGTTGACCTTACATTCATAGTGCTCCTTTCACCTTAGCCTCCTGAGTGAGCCACTGGGCCTGTAGACAGTTGAAGTTTTAAAAAGTAATTTAAAAATATTAAAGGGTAATCTGTATCTTTTGAGCTGTTTTTTTTTCTTTCCTTTGTGTGCTGGAAACTGAACCCAGGGTCTTGCCACTCTACCACTAAATTACAGCCTTGGGCCTTCTGTAAACCCCTATTGTTTTTTTTTTTTTTTAATGTTCGTTGGTGTTTTGTCTGCATGTACATCTGTGTAAGGTTGTTAGGTCCACTGGAACTGGAGTTACAGACAGTTGTGAGCTGCTTGTGGTTGCTGGGAATTGAACCTGGGTCCTCTGAGAGAGCAGTCAGTGCTCTTAACTACTGAGCCATCTCTCGAGCCCCATAAACCCCTGTTCTTACCAAAGAAGATTGTGGTACCTTATAAGTTTATAAAAGCACAGATAATAAAGTTGATACTGACATAGCTATTTCATAAGAGAACATGATTGATAAACATGGAAGATTCTCTCAACTTGATTGACATAAATTGCATGTTTAAGTCACAGTTAGCTGAGCATAGTAATACATACCTGTAATGGCAGCACTTGGGAGTCAGAGTTAAGATGAACACAAGTTCCAGGCCAGCCTGGGCTATATGTTGAGATCCTGTCTCAAAATTAAAACAAAAACACCCGCCAATTAGATTCCTCTTTGTATCTGTTAGAAGGCTAAAGTCCTGTATCCAATGTGGAGATTCAATAATGGTACACAGGGGAGGTGGAGGTAAGAGGATCAGAAATTCAAGGTAATTTGTGGCAACATATCAAGTTCAAGGTTAGCCTGTGACTTAGGAGGCCCTGCCCTGCCCCCCCAAAAAAGGGCTAATGAGACTAAGGATTGAGGATACAGACAGTGAGAACACAGAGATTTTCATAGTACACAGACCAAAATGAATTTGTTGGATTAAGTTTTATTTGTACAAGTCACTAATCAAGCTGAGGTTGTATACTGAATGTAAAGCCAGCCTGGAATATATAGGATACATACCCTATTAGATAAACAAATAAAAAGAGTCATTAACTAATGGTGATGTTGTTCTGTATCCTCAGCATTCATGTTATAGAAAAGACAATGTTATTAAAGCCTAATTTGCCAAAGATGTTTTTTGTTGTTGTAGCTAAACTCGTGATGTGTTGACCTTTCTGGTCTTGGTGCTATACAAGAATGGGATGTAGAATGCTTAAGCCAGGTGTGGTGGTACTTGCCTTTAACCCCAGCACTTGGGAGGCAGAGAGAGGCAGTTGGATCTCTGAGTTTGAGGCCAGCCTGGTCTACAGAGTGAGTCCCAGGACAGCCAGAGCTGTTACCCAGAAAAACCCGGTCTTTAAAAAAAAAAAAAAAGAATACTTAAGGGATTTGCTGGCATGTCTCTTTGTGTTGTTCCTTTAGCTAACATATCATTTTTCAAGATTGGCCTGAAACTGAACAGTAGATAATTCAGAGGTAAATTTGGGGGGATTAAAGTCATAGCTAGCTGAAATTTAAATATCTTTAGCTTTTCTGTGGTGATTACACTTCAGGAAAAGTGCCTTCTTTTTGCTTTGCTTTATTTCAGAAAGAGGATAAGTTGGCACGTTTAGAGAAAGCTATCAACCCCTTGCTTGACGATGATGACCAAGTAGCGTTTTCTTTTATTCTGGATAACATTGTCACTCAGAAAATGATGGCAGTTCCAGACGTAAGTAATTTTCATGCCAAATGTTGTCAAGATAGTACTAGGGGATGGAGAGAAGTATATAGGGGAAGCATGTGTGTATTAAGAAATTCTATGTAGTGATGTATGTCCATAGGAACTAGGATGTAACTTTAATAGTAACCTTTTGTTGTATGAATTCATTATCATTGAAAGCAATGATACCTAGTATCTTTGGCTATTAAGAGGTTCTTCCTGTTGTCAGCACTTAGTATTTGTAAGCTCTTGACTAGCCTGGGAGAGAAGACCTGTCAACTAATAGTAGGTTCTTGATTTAGAAATGCTCCTATACAAATAACACAACATTTTTTACTACATTTATTTATTTGTGCATGTGGGGAGGAAGGTATAAACTGTGGTTTATGTGTGGTCAAAACAACTTGACTGGGTGTGGTAGTACAACCTTTCATCCTAGCACTTGGGAGGCAGAAAACAAGTGGATCTTTGTGAATTCAAGGCCAGCCGGGGCTACACAGTAGGACCCTGTCTTTTAAAAAATAAAGCAAAGCATTTGAGAGGCAGAGACAGTTGGATCTCTGTGACTTTGAGGCCAGCCTGGACTACAGAGCGAGTTCCAGGGTAGCCAGAGCTGTTAAACAGAGAAACCCTATCTCAAAAAACCAAAACAAACAAACCAACCCCTCAGAGAATTTGAACTCCTTTCTATCCTCTGGGTTCCAGGAATTAAACTCAGGTCATTGGGCTTATTGGTAAGCACCTCTACCCACTGACCCATTTTGCCTGTCCATAAAAAACACTTCAATAATTACTCAATGTTTTTTTTCCTTTTTTGTTTTCTTTCTTTTTCCCTTTTTGGTCAACTTTTTATGTCAAAGCTATCTATCATATTAGTTCTGCAGACCATTTTATTATATTGGTCCCCTCCCCCGCCCCGAAATTCAGAATTAAATTTTCTGTTGCATGTCATCATAATGTTCTATGTGTAGAGTGTTATAAAATTTCTAGATGGAACTATGGAATAAGGAATTTTATTCTATTTTTACAGAACTTGGTCTTTAATGCAGAAATAAGATTTTAGTTCTAAATTTAGAGGAAGGATTCTTTTTTTTCTATAGTGATCCTAGGTATTTCTTTTTCTGATTTTTTTTTTAAGAAAATTTTTCATTCATTTTAAACACCAATCAAAGATCCCCTTCTTCCCTCCTCCACCCTTCCCAACCCATCCCCCACTCTCCCCCCAAGAAGAAGGCAAGGCCTCCCGTGGGGAGGCACATCTAGTAGAGGCAAGTCCAAACCCTTCCCCCTGCCGCAAGGTTACACCAGGTGTCCCATCATAAGTAGTGGGCTCCATAAAGCCCGCTCATGCACCAGGGATGGATTCTGATTCTACCACCAGGGGGCCCCTTAAGCAGATCACGCTACACAGCTGTCTCACCATGCAGAGGGCCTAGTCCAGTCCCATGCAGGCTCCACAGTCATTGCCCCAACTTTCATGAGTTCCCACTAGTTTGCTTTGGTCATCTCTGCAGGTTTCCCCATCATGATCTTGATGCATTTGCTCATAGAATAGAGGAGGGATTCTTATTTTAAAATCAGGGTGTGAGAATCCTTAATAAGACTCTTAAATTACAGAGAATTTTGTGTGAGCTTGTGTATTTCTGTGGAAAGAGTCTATAGTTTTTATCAGAAATATTTGTAACTCAATGAAAATCGGGACTCTGTGCTATAAATAGTGATTTTCATTTAACTGTCCATGCTTTCTTTTTATTAGTCTTGGCCATTTCATCACCCAGTTAATAAGAAGTTTGTTCCAGATTATTACAAAGTGATTGTCAGTCCAATGGATTTGGAGACTATACGTAAGGTGAGTGATTTTTTATGATTAGTGTCTTTTTATAGTCAAATGTTTTTGTATATATAGCTGAGTGTCTGATTGTTTTTATCATAGAATATCTCCAAGCACAAATACCAGAGTCGAGAGAGCTTTCTAGATGATGTAAACCTTATTCTGGCCAACAGTGTTAAGTACAATGGTGGGTATTTCTTTTTTTCCTTTTTCAGCAGGTCTGTTCAGCACTAATTTGCATTATTGAGATTTTTTTAAGGGCTTAAGCAGCTTTGAGCGGTGATAGCTAAATCAAATAACTCAGTTTACTTTTTAAAATTTTGTTTTTATATCTATATGTATGTGGTAAGAGTGGGAGTGCTATTCTGGTATGCTTTTGGAGGTTAGAAGACAACTTGGAGAGTTGGTTCTCTACTTCCATCATATGGGTTCCAGGGCAGAACCTAAGTTGCCAGACTTGGCACTGAACCATTTAGGCTGCTTAGTTTGATTTTGTTTTTGTTTTTAGAGTCAGGGTTTCTCTGTGTAACAGCCCTAGCTGTCATGGAACTCACTCTGTAGACCAGGATGGCCCTGAACTCAGAGATCCACCTGCCTCTGTCTCCCAAGTGCTGGCATGAGCCATCACTGCCCGGTTTGCTCATTTAAGTAGGTGCATATTTTAGTGTGTGTTTTGTAAGAATCACTGTTACACTTCATGAAAAGCAGTTGATCCTTACTTTTGAAATTGTGTAAAGCATAGAAAAATGAGGTGTGAATAAAAATCAAATGGATGTTCCTTGTCCTTTGAGTCATTGCTGTGTTTCTATAAGATTTGAAAAGTTACATTCCAACTCTGCATGGAGCTGAGGCTGAAATGTATAGCTAGCTGTAGACCATGGCAAACTTTGGTATGTGGAATTTTGCTCAGTACCTGAATTGATGGAATAATATGTACTAGACTCTGCTAGCTGCTTAATCTTAATCTTAATGATAGGAAGGATGGTCTCTATGCCAGCACTTCATACTTGGGTTGATATAAACAAATAAAATACAGCTTGACAAAGCTATAATAGAAGGATATACAAAGTATGTTAGAGAAAAAAATACTTTAATCTGAGTGTTAGGAAAGGCTTCATAAACTAGTAAAAGTTAAAGGATTTTTGTTTTTGAAACATGGTTTCATATATCCCAGGCTGGCCTTGAACCTGATGTATACCTGAGGATGACCTTGGATTCAGCTTCCTGCTCCTACCTCCCAATTTTGTGTAGCACCAAGTATGGCTCAGTGATTTTTTTTTTTTTGAGACAGAGTCTCACTATGTATCCATGGCTGGCCTGGAACTCACTATGTAGAGCTCACAGAGACTAACCTGTCTCTGCTAGGATTAAAGAATGTGCCACCATGCTCAACCAAAAAAAAATTAAAAAACCCTTTTTAAGATTTTTTTTTTAATTATATGTATGTGTGGATGTGTATGTAGAGGCCAGAAGGGAATGTGAGATCCCCTGGAACTGGAGTTATAAATGGTTGTGAGTTGTCCAACATGGGTGCTGAGAACTGAACTCAGGTCTTCTGCAAGAACAGCAAAAGCTCTTAACCACTTGAGTCATCTTTCCAGCCTCAGGAACTTATTTTTGAACTGAGTCTTAAGGGATATTGACTATTGTGGATCATTACCGAGCACCTACTATGCTGAACGGATAATCAAGAAAAGAAGGATGATGAAGTTCCAGATAGAGAACCAAATGCAAAAATACATGAAAGTGCTTTGGATGGGGAAGTACAAATAAGTTTGACTTGAATATAGGGTGGTGGCTAGGTTTGATTATAAAATAAGGATTGGGGGGGAGGTTTAGGCCCAAATTGTGAAAGGCGGCCCAGTAAGTCACACTAAACCAGTAAGAGAGGAGAGAGGTATAGTTTTAGTAAATACCATTTAAGAAGTTATCCAAATAATGAAGTGGAGATGAATGAGATTTGGAGACCAGTAAAGAAACTCTTAACAATAGCCATGTTGAAAAACAAAACCTAACAATTTGAACAGTTTAGAAGCAGGAAGAAGAGACCTGGCATGCTTGCATAAGCCTTTAATCCTAGCACCTAGGAGGCAGTAGCAGCCAGATCTCTGCGAGTTAAAGGATAGCCTGGTCTACATGGTAAGTTCCAGGATAGCCAGAGCTCTGAAGAGAGACCCTGTCTCAAAAAAGCAAAACAAGCCGGGCAGTGGTGGAGCATGCCTTTAATCCCAGCACTCAGGAGGCAGAGGCAGGCATATCTCTGAGTTCAGGGCCAGCCTAGTCTACAGAGCGAGATCCAGGACAGGCACCAAAACTACACGGAGAAACCCTGTCTCAAAAAACAAAAAGACAACACAAAAAGAAGCAATACTAATGGAAAGGTTAAGCAGATTATATAGGTATTAAGAAAGTAGAATTGATACCTTAATACTTGGACCAGATAGAATGTTCTGTGTGTGTGTGTGTGTGTGTGTGTGTGTGTGTTTGTGTTTGTGTTTGTTTTTCGAGACAGGGTTTCTCTGTAGTTTTGGTGCCTGTCCTGGATCTCGCTCTGTAGACCAGGCTGGCCTTGAACTCACAGAGATCCACCTGCCTCTGCCTCCCTAGTGCTGGGATTAAAGGCATGTGCCACCACCGCCCTTTTTTTTTTAATATTTATTTATTTATTATGTATACAGAAGAGGGTGCCAGATCTCATTACAGGTGGTTGTGAGCCACCATGTGGTTGCTGGGAATTGAACCCAGGACCTCTGGAAGAGCAGTCAGCGCTCTTAACCTCAGAGCCATCTCTCCAGCCGTGTGTGTGTGTGTGTGTGTGTGTGTGTGTGTGTGTGTGTGTGTGTGTGTGTGAGTGAGAGTGTGTGTTTTGGTTGGTTGGTTGGTTGGTTGGTTGAAGTGGGACATTAGAGTTGAACTGCCTCATTAAGGAAAGCCTTGTGAGCCAGTTGTGCTGACTCACACCTTTATTTCTAGCACTCAGGAAGCAGAGACAGTCAGATCACGGGTTTCTTTGAATTCTACATAGAAAGTTCCAGGTCAGCCAGGATTACATAGTGAGACTCTCTCTCTCAAAAGCAAGCAACAACAAAAAGACAGTATCATGGATTATAAGCTAGGATATGTTTGGCTAGACTGGGAGGTATAAACTATCTGACATGAAGTTTGCAGTGATTTTTATTTTAGGGCTTATGTTTTAAAACTGTTTTGTGTGTGTGTGTGTGTGTGGTTTTTTTTTTTGTTTTTGAGATGAGGGAAGGAACTTCTACAAGTTGCCTGGACTAGCCTGCAACTCCTGACTTGTGTGGGCCTTCTGCTTCTGTTTCCTAATAGCTGAGTCCACAGGTACACACAGCCATACTCTTATTTTAATTTTTCATTTAAGTCCTTCAAGTAGGTGGAGCTTTCCTGTATATAATACCACATTATGAACAAGACTATTTCCATAGAATTTCGATTTTTCATTCTTTTTTATGATAGCCAGATTTCTTTGAAATCTCCATCTTTTTCTTTCCCATTCGTGTTTCACTTAGAGCTTTCAGTTTTGTTTTGTTCTGAGATGGTTTTGCTATGTTGCTTGAGCTGGCCTCAAACTTGGCCATCTTCCTCCCTTATCTTCCCCAGTGCTACGATTGTACAGTTGTATGCTACTGCACCCAGCTTTTTACTCCAGTATGGCTTTTTAAAAAGATTTATTTATTTATCTTATGTATATGAGTGCTCTATCTGCAGGTACACATTTGTGTCAGAAGAGGGCATCAGATCCCTCTATAGATGCTTGTGAAGCCACCATGTGGTTGCTGGGAATTAAACTCTAGTCCTCTGGAAGAGCAGCCAGTGCTCTTAACCGCTGAGCCATCTCTCCAGCCCCCTCCTATATGGCTTCTACAACGCTAAGTATGTCTACTAAGTGAACAAGGTCACATAATTGCCCTAGGGGATAAGTACTTTACAGTACCTATCTTGATCTTGCTCCAAGAGTTAGAATCACTTTCTTGAAACTGTATTGTGATGACAACTGTCCTCCTTCTTTTTAAACCTTTTCAGTCTTTTTTCTGAATATTCTTACTCATACACTTTAACTACCATCTCTTTCTTGATGACTCTGTTCTAGACAAAGATCTATGTCCTCAACCACCTGCTAAAAATGTTCTTTTTAAAATAAAAAATTAATGCCTACGTGTCTATGCACCATGCATGTAGTTTCTACAAAGACCAGAAGAGGACATCAGATTCTTTGGGACTGGAGAGAGAGTTATGAGCTGCCATGTGGGTACTGGTTGTCTGCAATAGCAGCCAGTGCTCTTGACCACGGAGCCACCTCTCTGGCATCATAAAATAAATATTAGAAAGAAAGACCAAAGGGCCAAAGATGGAGGCACAGTGCCTGAAAAGTGAGGTGGTGTTGTAGAGTGACGGAAGTATCGATTCCAAGTGTAAGAGGGCTTCTAAGACCAAGTCTGGGGAGTTGGGTTTGGCAGTTAGTGTTTCATCACCAGTTGAATCAAAAGTTCAGTGAAGTGTTTCTTGTCACTCTTTTTTGTTTGTTTGTTTTTGAGACAGGGTTTCTCTGTAGCCCTGGCTGTCCTGGAACTCACTTGGTAGACCAGGCTGGCCTCGAACTCACAGAGATCCGCCTGGCTCTGCCTCCCGAGTGCTGGGATTAAAGGCGTGCGCCACCACCGCCCGACTCCTTGTCACTCTTTATCGGTGGTTCCTTTTCCTATACTTTTGTAGTACTGTATGCTTTATTGAAATTTGAAATTTGGGCTGAGTATAGTGGCAGCATGTCTTTAATCTCAGCACTCTATAAACAGAGGCAGGCAGATCTTTGAGAGTTTGAGGCCAGCTAGGTGGTGAGTCTAGGCCAGGCCAGCTAGAGTTACATTGTGAGATTCTGTCTCAAACAAAACAAAACAAAAACCTTAAAGATTGTGCTGCTTTTTTTTTTTTTTTGAGACTGTCTGTCTAGCCCTGGCTAGCCTGGAATGTCCTATGTATACCACTACATCTGTCTTAAACTAAGTGCTTAAAAAGGAATATTTAAGAGCTGGGTGATGGTGGCACACACCTTCAATCCCAGCACTGGGGAGGCAGAGGCAGGTGGATCTCTGTGAGTTCAAGGCCAGCCTGGTCTACAGAGCGAGTTCCAGGCCAGGCACCAAAACTACCCAGAGAAACCCTGTCTTC